CCCCACCCCAATCCCGTAAACTATTTAATCCGTAAACTATTCAACAGAGAACCTCGTATACCATGTATCGTTTCATGATGAGACAGAAAACATAGATGTAACATAAAACGCCTGACTTAGATTATACCAATTTGGTTGCTTGATGTTTATTGTTTCATCGAACTAATTAGATAACCGAAGTCTGTGTCATCCTAATCCTTGCCAAAATGGTGGAAAATGCAGACAAGTAAGGTCGAACAGCCTTGAATGCAGTTGCTCCATGCAGTTCCACGGAAAATACTGTGAGCGTAAGTAAGAAATGCATACTTTACTTTTATGAAGGCAAGGTAACTTACTTTACCAACATTAAGTCAATTGTGAGTATATGATTCTTTATCCGGTTATGAAATCATGATATATGAAGCTAAGTGGCAAAGGCTGTCATAGAGATAATAGTTTTGCTGCTGAGCTTGATAATAAATCATAAGTAATAAAAATAATGGAAAACGATACCTACGAAATTTAGTTGTAATGATGACATTTATTGAGGATGTCATCTTCACTAAAAATAGTGATTTAGATGACATGGAAAACTATGACCTTTTCTTCCACTAGGAGATAAATGCATGGATTGTGACGTCCACGCGATCTGCTACAATGGCCATTGTAAATGTAGACCGGGCTATAAGGGAAGTGGATTTAATGGAGAGTGTAAACCAGGTATAATTATTTTAAATTGTTTTTTTTAAATGACCGTCGTTGATGTCACACCATGAACGTTTAGAGTATGAATTGGTTGTTCATCGTGTTCTAAGACATGTAAGAAATAATAACTCATAGTACCTTTGCTTTCCTTGACTCCAAAGCATTTCAATATAGTCGACCCCGATTTTCACGATCTTCCGAGTTTCATTCTAATGATAATCTGCATTTTTAAACATCAGTTATCAACTTGTAAGCAAAATGTCTCTCAACTCTGTAAAATTTAAGTGTTTTACTTGTCTTTACTATAAGCTCTCTGTCATTCAGGTTTGATAAAAACAACAAATCAGAATGACCTCGTCAACAATATCAAAATGCGCAACTATTCAGTTTGCAAGGGGGCAAATCTTTGAAAGGTCCTCGTGAATGTTCGGGAGGAGCGAACTTTCCCTCAAAATTTCGAGACTCACTAGGAATTGATCGGCAAACTTTTGGATGAATCCAAACAATAGCTGGCTCGAAAATTCGCCGAAAAGTCGCGCAAATCTCGTTTCGGACCAAATTTCGTCGAAAAGCAAGGAATTACGTCGATTTTTGTCGACAGGCGTTTGCATGACTTTTGTGCAATGTTGTATGTTTCGGGTAAAAAAAGTCTTGCAGAGAGACTTTACTGAAGCAATATCTAAAACTTACACTACTGAGATTAGACAGACCCCGGTTAGCTCAATTGATTAGAGCACCGGATTGTGCTGGGCGGGAGGTCGAGGGTTCGAGCTCCGGCCGGACCAATACTCATGGTCTTAAAGTAAGTGAGGAGAATTTGCTACCTTTCTATAATCAAGAAATGGATAGATATATCTAGTCTTCTCGGATAAGAACGAATAAACCGTAGGTCCCGTCTCCTGGCAGGGTTAGGGGTAGGAGACGTTAATTTCCCATGCACGAGGTTACTGTGTGGTGGATGTCCTCCCCTGGGTGAGATGGGTGAATGTTGGCCCTGAAAAGCCACTATGGGGAGTGGTCTATTAACCTATGTATACACGTATGTATGTATTAAAAAAATGCTCTGAGAGAGGTTTGACTCTGACCAAGCAGAATTCATCTCAATACAATTTCATTTTGATTATGCTATAAGATATGTCTTCCACGGAATTTTAAAGAAAAGGAAACAAGAAATCTTCATGAAAACAGACGATTAGAAGACAAGATTAGGTTTTAGGTTCCTATTGATTTTTTCAAAATAAAACATTTTTGCATTTAAAAATGTTACTTTTATTGTTTCCAGTGTCTTCTTGTAACACCTGTCCCCTGAATGCCGTCTGCGTGGAGGGAGAATGTGCCTGTATCTCTGGATTTTACTTTATTGATAATACTTGTCAGAAAATTGGTGAGTCGGGATAAGAAGATTTATAATTTGTGTAATCATGTAAAGTCAATTAAGTCAACCATTTTTTCAAAGAATTTTTCGTTTATTCACTCATTTCTTCATTTTTCCATTTTCCTATTCTAGTGGGATACTGATTCAACGTGGTACCAATTACATGACCGAAGCAGTTTTGCAGGAGCCAAGCAAAGGACTTCGAAAACTTGCAACCCCTCTTAATATCCTCATTCTTACTCAATCTCACGGAAAAAAGCTAAGGTATCACTTCCTCCAAAACATTTAGGGTTTAAGATTTCCATAAACTTTAATTAGCATCTGTGAGCGGTATAATAGGGTCGTAAAATAAGTTAAGATAAAATTCGTCGAAACTCTTTATGCGAGCGATTCAGATATCGAAAGTTTTAAAAGTGATCGGTATTTTCCCGAGACGAGGCCGAGGGAAACAATAAGGGTCGAGGGGAGCAAAACTTATTCCTTCTTGTAGGGCCACTCACATAAAAAAAAATTTATACTTTACGACCTTTATCGCATAGTGTTTGAAATAAGCTTTAGTGTAAAGTTCTGTAGTTGCAGCTGCAGCGAATGATGCCGCTTCACTAGCCGAAGAAAACGATTCAGTGCTAATGATTTTTAGACATTTTTCTGTTGCAAGTATCTGGCAATACCTTAGCGTATCCCCAATAGAACTCTTATGTGAGTTATTTCATTTCCCAGAACTAGCGTAAAATTTCCAGAGAAGGGAGTTTTGTTTAGAGCTTTTTGGACCCCTACCAAACATTAAGACATTAAAGTGAGTTAAGAAGCTGCTGTAACAGTATTTATTTCCATTGACATCCACATATTTAAAGGATGACTGTTCTTTGTGGGAACGTACTTGAATTGAATTCCAAAAACTGGATTTGGTGTCTAGGGTACAAAAAGAGTGAGAAAACTGCTCAATAAAATTACTGAAAGCCTTACGATTAAAACTACGACAAAAACACGAACGGCTAAATAATACAAATGAGAAGAACTAAATGATTTTGAGTCATTCTAATCAAAATTAATTGACCATTTTGCAACTTTTAGGCGTCTTTAGGATTAAATTTGAGAGACCCAAATGCTATTAAGATTCTCCACAAGGCTATAGATAAAATGAGCCGATACGTTGTGGAATCGTTTTACATTCTGACCGCTTTTCCTTATGATGACTATCTTGGGAAACCTGATTTCTAGATATAAGAGTCAAAACTACATAATTTTCCGGGTCGGTATATGACGTTTTCCCTTGTTTCCAGTATATATTGATGAAGAGAGCACCAAATTCTGTAAAGGACTGAGAAGCGATTAAACTGGCCGTTTCTCTGAGTCTAAAGGCTGGAATTTTAAGTTACAGTCAAACAATCCTGCTAGACTTTTAGGAATACACCCAAAATGTTCCAAATACTGGGCCTGGATATCTATAAGTTGAGCAGCGTTATCCTACAGATAATATGAATTTTCATAACGCATTTTCCACCAACTTTGAGACAATCTCAAAAGACAAGATCCTAACTACAAATGTTCTCCGCCGGGTTTTAGTGAAAATCCCTCTAACAAAATCAAGTGTAACTAATTGCACGATGACGCCCCAACAGCAATGCAACATATTTTCCAACAAATATCTATTATAAAAAGAGCAAAAGTTCAGCAATAGTGGTTTGCATATCATACCTAGCACAGCATGCCTGAAAACAAATGCATTAGCCATGTACACAATGTTGATTGATTGGAAAGAACACTTCGCTGCATTCTTTGCTTTTATTGCTACCATGAGATGAAAAAACATATATATTATAATTTTAGAACTTCACTGGATTGTGCCAATCGAACAAATTGTTTGAAAGAATAATGGTGATTATAATGACGTTGATAATGATGATTATCATTGTCGTAATAAGAAAATCAACGATGAGAGGTGCGATCATTAAAATAACAGTGGTAATAAGGGTAGTTAAAGTTATTGTTGAAGGAATAACATAAGAATTAGAACGATCGCGGTGATGATAACAACAGAATCTGTACAAGAATGCAAGGACAACTGGACAAAGAAGACAGGATAAATAACGTCCACAACTAAAGTCTACGCACAAAGTTATCACATCTTCAGCGCAAACGTGTCCTTTTCTTACACGTGTATCTTTACTCCGACATCTTCCTTGGATGCAGTCTGCGTTCACGCCACAGATAGCACACTTGTCAGCTGCTCTTCTCCAAACCATGTATTGAATCCGCATGTTCGATATGGTATTGACTTATTTTTAACTCACTTAAGATCTCGTGTCCCTTGGGAAACTGGAACTAGACGTTAGATTACGTTACCTAACACCACAGTGAGGCCAATTGTATCGCGGGGTACAATAGGCCATTTTACAGTTGTGTACTTTGTTGCCAAGCCTTTGATTCAGAGTGAGGCTGAAGGTGACCTTGTTGTGATAGAGACCTGTATCTACTTAGCATGATAACAAAGTGATTTACATTTGAAAGGCAGCAAGGTTTGTATCATAACAAGGTCACCCCTAGCCTCACTCCCATTCAAAGCCTTGGCAACCAAGCACACAACTGTAAAATGGACTATTACAATCATACGAGTGAGGGGCTCGGTCTATACAAGTCCTCCTGTTCATACGGGGACTTGAATGACAAGATGGTGTGGCGGTTGGGACTCTTTCTGGAAGACATGCTTCCTAAATATGTCTTACATCTTGAAATTATATCCAGTCAAAATTCCATTTGAAATACGAAAAGTAGCCGATTTGAAATAAAAATAAAATTAAAAAAAAGTTTATAACGGAGTGAATGATTCGAATTGATGTGAATATCTGGTCCAAAATTGGATCTTTCATTTACAGATACTAACTTCTGCAGGCTGGTCCTGTAAAACCTTCAAGTCCAGTTCATGAACATCTTGCTGTTACTCTATCAACTCAGTCATCTCATAATTAACCGTGTCCTCGCTCAAAACATGCTCCTTGTTCCCCCTCTCGGTCAATAAGTTTTTTCATAGGAATGCCCAGTTTTACCACCGAGGATAATGGCCTGTTTTACTACCTAAGATAAAAATACAGGCAAGCAGTCTAAAATATTGTACATGTAGAGTCAACAAATTGAAAACGAGGTGACAAGAATTAGAGGCTCTTAATCCTTTAAGCGTGTATTTTTCTCCTTGTTTTATTGAATTCAAAGAAAGGACAATGATTGGTCACCTGTGTAATTCTGCGACCTTATCATCACTAGGAAGCATTTTTAATGATGGATCGTTACAATGCACTCAGAATGTTTTATGTCGCCTAAAAATTTTGAACACTTTCTTCTCAGCGCGTTATCTATTGATTTGCATCCTATTGTAAAAAAGGTCTCTCCTGTAAGAGCAAAAAATATTTTCAAGTTTAATTTTGTCGTAAGAAATAGACAACTTCTTTGAGAGACCTTTCGGCATGCTTATGCCATCTTCAATCAATGAGTAACAGAACGTGAGTAATTATATAACAGACAAGTAGATGAATAAAATATTTACAGTATGATGTAATACAAAAGCGGGTACTAATACAACGTAACACCAAACATCAAAGGTGTGAACTAAAATGCTAGAAATGAACTTAACAAACAATTACAGCATTATAACACGTTTCTAGCGTGTTAGTTCACACCTTTGATGTTTGGTGTCACGCTATAATGCTTGTAAATGTTTGAACTTAACAACTCGTCAAGATAATTAATTTGTAGCCATCGTTTGTCGATTTAAAATGAATATGTAGCATTTCTGGACATGTTTCTCTTTAGTTAAGGTGAGGACTAACTTGCGCCCCAAAGAATTCAGTTGCCTTTCCATTTTATAGGAAATCTACACGAGGATTAAAACAAAGGTATATGTGAGTCAAGAAATTTTCAGCTAAAAATAGTTCTTTGCGTGCACTTTGCAAGAAGCGCACGATTTTATTGTCATTATAAAGCAACATAGCTGGCTATTTACAATAAACTAAACACAAAGCTGGTACAACGCGAGGTTACGTTACAATTTACCATTTACCATTTACCGGGATCTTAGAAACCATGTAGATATTGTTTATAAGCCATGTGCTGCATACAATGAAAGAGACGTTGCCACGGAAGCTAGACCTGGTTCAGGTGATCAATTAGGCCAGCTACAAATAAACGGGCTTTTTCTTTCTCTTTAATTGGTTTCAAAGGAATTCCTTATTTATTTATTTATTTTTTAGATCATACAATACAGTTAAGTAATAGCAATGGGATTGAGTGATAAACAAATCGGACTCCCGCTGCGAGGTCGTACGATTTTGCTACAGACCGAATTGGACGACACGAAGTCTTATTACCAATTAATCATAAAAATTATAATTTCCGAGTAAGGAAGAATAGCCAATTTATGAAAGAGAGGAAAAAAAATTGCATTAAAAGAAACCCAGGTTGTGATTGGTTGATTTAAACAAAAGCTTTGAATGCGATTTGTTGATTTAAACTACAACTTGGAATATGATTGGCTTATTAAACTGGCCGATAAAAAACTGTCTGATGCTGAAAAAGGGGAGCTTTTTTAAACCAATCACAATCAAGGACATTTTCATTTTTACTATTAATTAAGTTTCGTTATAATGACTGTGTCACGTTGGTAGTCTTTGAAGTAACATACATGCATGCAATTGAATAATTTCCAACAATAGGTTATAAAGCGTCTCTAACGCCCATTATCTGCAGTTGGAAAACAAACAAGAAAAGAGAAAATGATTAGTCAAAAAAAAAAAAAAAATAGATCAAGCCCTCGTTAGTTAAAGAACTCAACATACTATTGGTTCAAATAAATGTGCGATGAATGTCGTACGGTCATTTTGATGAAATGCAATAATAATTATAGAACTGGCCTTTTAAGGGCCTGAATACTTTTGCAAGCAAGAAACCACTTTTTTTGGGGAAAAATGATAAATGAATGCATAAATCTGTCCCTTAAGGAAAATTCTGTATACAATTTATACAACTTCAAGAACTATTACATTCCAGTGGAATGAATATTGTCTTTACCTTGACAAATGAACCCGGGAATACAAACACAGACTCCCTGTGCACAGTGGTGATGAACAGGGCAGATACCACATTCTTTATCCTTATCTGCTTATGTGATACAAGACAATAATATCAGTATCAACCTGATGAATATTAGCTTTGCCAACAACTTTAAGCCTACCAAGAATTATCATTAACATAAGATTCATTTGCTTAATTCCATCTGAAATAAAGCACTCGAAACTGCAACACGATCGTTACAGATATCTTTCACTGACCTTTCACGCACACATATCCAGTCCCAACGTAACCCTCTCTACAGCGTCAACGTCCATAGACACATTCTGCATCCTCATGACAATTGGCGCACTTGTCGACTAAGAAAGAGTAAAAATTTTTCATGAACGACTATTATACCTTTAGACATAGCCACCAGACATAAATAGCCTTTAACGTCATATAATTTTTTTGAACAACGTGAACAACGATGAATTGCCCTGTTTTAAAAAGTAATAGGAGAATTGAAGAACTCTCCTTCCTACAAAATTTGGCTTCCTACTTTTTTTCATCAAAGAGACCAAAGCTGTCTGGTGATATAAAAGGTAGTGATTACCTCCACAGTGGGGTCCTGTGTACTGTGGTGTGCAGATACAATCGTACCCATTTAGACGCTCTACACAAGTGCCTCCATGCTGGCAGTTGACATTCCTACAGTGCTTTTCTGTTGGTGTCACTGGAGCTATAAATGTAAAAGAGATGCAAAATCTCTCATTGTAAGATACTGTTATCATTAGTCCCATGTTAAATGGCATTAGGGGAATGGAAGCAAACTAAAAAAAACTGAATGAAAACTATCCTCTCCTACTTAATTTCCAAACAAGAGATGAAATTTTGTGTTCATCAATAAATTAGGGTTTAACAGCAATATTGTGGCTGCAATGCAGTTCTGTTGTGTGTATTTATGTAAGAAGGTATACTTAATTGGCGACTTCTCAAAGAGGGCTTTCAGGGCCTATACAAATGAGTGAATAAATCAGTGAACGAATGAGTAAATGAATGAAGAAAGTGTATTAAAATACCAAAAACCAGGGGACAGACCAGTTAGCTGTATACAGGCCATTTGCAGTCAAGGAGTTGAACTCGGGGCGACTGAGAAAAAATCCAGTGAGTAGTAGGGTGAAGGACTGGAGCCGCGACCACCAGATTACAAGTCTAATGCCCCAGCCACATGGTGACACTGCCTACACAAGGCGGTGTTGGTACTTAAGGGAGAAGGGATAAAAAGGGGTTTTCGATGATAGTTCATCAACGATTGGGTATTGTTGTATCACCGCTGAGTTTAGCTTTCTGTTTGTGATTTTTCGATACGCACGTCATCCAAATGTGAGCTAATGTTATTCTTCTCGATGACCAAACCTTCACAAAGATAAGTAACGCCTGGTTGGAACAACAATCGAAAGTTTAACTACAAGTTGAGTCACATACCTGAGCAGTCAGGTCCTGTGTAACCGGGCGGGCAGGTACACTTGTATTGTCTCGTTGCGATGTCTACGCAAGTAGCGCCATTCTTACAAGGCTTAACACATAAACAGGAAGTGCCTGAAACGAAAGATTAAGTAGACCTCTGATTTGATAATGTAGGGTCACTCTGTTAACGCAGCTTCTAAGGGATTTTAATGAGACATTGTTATCTACCAAGATAGAGATGAAATAGGAGTTGAAGACCTCTTTTCCAGACGTCTACATATGGTTGTTATCAAAAAGTACGCGTTAACCTAAGCTAGCCAACTGACATGTCGGAGCCCGCTAAAAATTAAAACTTATATATATCATTGGTGCTGATATAATCTAGCAAAAACAGTAGGACTTACATTCACAAAAAGTTCCGTAAAATGGAGAAACGCAATCACATCTGAATCCAGCCAAAGTATCCACGCATGTTCCTCCGTTCCTGCATGGCGCACTAAAGCAAAAGGTTTGACCTGAATTTGACGAAAAGAAGCTTTCAGTAAGTCACCAGAATTTTTCTTTAATTAATCGTCATGTGTTTATGTATGTATTAGTATTTGCAATATTTAGACTGGCTGGCCAAGTTTAGCTGAAAGCTGGTTTAAGGGGTGGCTTGCGCCAAATATGACAGAGGCCTGACTACAACACCGGGAGCTACATTGTATCCTCTTTGAAAGAAGTGCATGGGTTCCTGAACGTACCACGTTAGCAAGAAAGGAGAAGGGGTAGGAGACGGGGCCTATGGAAATCGTCCTTATCCGCGAAGACTAGCGTGTCTAACTGTTTGTCAATGTCATAACAAAGCAGTAAATTCTCTTCAGTTATTTTTAAGATTCTGAGTGTTGGTCAGGTCTAGGGCTTGTGCTCCTTGACGCTCTACAACGTGAACTTACCAATCATGGTTGAAATAAATATTAATAATTAGGATGAGCTTGGCCGATCTTATGTATCGCAAAGAAGGGCCAAGAATATAATGCGAAATTGAAGAATATCACTCTCCCTTCTCAGAGAATCTATGATATTATGCACATCAAAGCTTTACTTTTCCAAGCAATTGAAAATAGCGACTGATCGCGCAGGCGCGTTTTCTTTTACCTAATTTAAAAGAATAAAATTTAAGTATCCCTATAACTTACCTCCAAGAACACAGCCACCTTCCGTAAATGTGACTTTATCAACATCAGCAACAGGTGGACAAAAACATTCCCCGACATCGTCGCATTCAGCGTCAATTACTTCTTTCCCATCTGGTCGTGGTTTCGCCTTAGGACAGTCGCAATCTGTGGGCAAGAACGTTATTCAAGCCATCAAACCTAGACTACTGTCTTTTTTTATATATATATTTTTTTAATTTTGTTTTCTATTAATGATTTAGTAAAATAAAAAATCCTGAGGGAATCAATGATTGTACTCATCTCAACTTAGGGTTGAACCAGTTTTGAACCAGGAAACAAAGCCACGGACTTTTCTTATCTTGGACCAGTAGAAATCGGTGACGCGAAATTGTTATATGGCAAGGCAGTCCTGCGGTAAATCCGAGCGTTCTTATTGGTTCTTACTTGGCTGGGAGTTTGCCGTAAGGACGGTTTCCACGAAAGTGGTCTTCAGCCGTGTACTTGTTGTTATGATCGAGAGCCGATCAATCCGAATTATACAAGTTTGGTAGAGCGCCATAAAATAAACTGCTTACGAACCTCGCTTGTTCGAGCGACATTGGGGAATATTGGTCCTCAGTCGTTTTTATACGCACCTCGCTGCGCTCGGTCCACGACTTCAGATCAATATTTCTCAGTGCGGCCCTCGCGCTCGGTGAGTAAGAAGGTATTATTTGTTACTAAGTTGAGATAAACCTGGGCAATTCCTGGGCGTGTTGCGCGTACTCCGTAGCGTAAGGTGCTGCTTAAAAAAGATTCTGATATGACATCGTAAGCGCTAAAGTGGCCATGAGAAGAAAGTTCTGTGTATGATCATCACATTTTTTTATGTATAGGCTTGAAGATTAAATAAGAAAAAACGTCACTCACTGGTGCAATCCTTTCCAGAGAATTTACCAAGGCAATCACAAATGTAGTCATCTTTCTCAGGCAAAAACCTACACTTCGCACCATTTTTGCAAGGATTTGGAATACATCGATTAACAACAGTCCCTGAAGAGAAGCAAGATGTCATTTTACCGTGCCTTTGTCAAATAAACAGGAATAGCCAGCCCAAGAGATATAATATCCCGAAATGAAACTGAAGTTGATTAAAAAAAAAAACCCCAGTATGAGCGACTGAAACTTTCTATTGCAATTTTCAGTAAGCACCCATAATTATGAGGAGATAATGAATTAATTATATGGACTTGAGCTCCACAAATGTGCACACAGACATTCATACTCTTCCAGATGGAGTGTTTGGAGCAAATTACTATGCGATTAGATATACGAGAGGTACACCGGTAAATAGTATAAATTTTGTAAAATTGATAAATATCATTTCTATTTACCATTACAGTCAGGTGGAAGGTAAGGCGGTTTGCAAATGCATATGCGTTTCTCTCCCTTTGGAATGCATTCCCCTCCATTTAAACATGGCCGTAACAAACATGGTTCACATATATCTGTTGAGAAGAAGATCTCCTGTTTAACTCAACTCAATGCCTTACCCTAGAATAAGATTAATTTGGACTTATCCTATTGATGCAAACCGCCATTATTTTCGGCGAGTTAAAATGTAGTTTTCTCTTTATACAGGTTGACGGGATTTTGATAGCTCAGAGAACCAGTCACAAACAATAGTCAGGACCAGCGAAGCAGCATCCTGTCTTAATAATCTTGGTGAAAAATGACTTTTGAAATGTCTGGAAACGACTTTGTCACGAAACGAACCTAAACCTCCTCTAGAGCTTGAGACGTACCAATGATTCTAAGAACCACGATGGATGTGTCACTTGGCTCGAGTTTAGATTTGACTTGAACATTTTTTGTCTTATTTCAATGCGCAAAGGGGAAAAAAAATTACCTTTGCAATGAAGTCCACAATATCCTGGGACGCACTCACAGTCGTAACTACCGTCCTGTCGTTCAGAGCACGTTCCTTGATTAAGACAAGGATTAGGATGACATCTATTTGTTGGCTCTGCATAAAAAAAATTACACAGTTATCATTATCTTATTCAAGCAAGTCATTCACTCGAATCTACATTTGTTTTACGATTGACTTAATAGTATGGACTGTTGTATCGGGGTAATGTGTGAATAATAGTGATAAAAATACTAACTCATTATATCGCCATTTCATTGAATAGAAAAAGAAAAAGAAATATATTACAGGGTCTCCTCATCTCTTCTGTGCACGTCCTTTTTATGATTTCAAAATGTTTTCGTGTTTGGTTTAAGCTTGAGCTACTTTCCAATGTAGAATAAAGAGCACTAGACATGTACTATGTACTACCATGACAGCTATAGGCGGGCCATCAGGGCTGTCGAACCAAATACAATTTGTCAGTTTACTACATGCAAAGATAGCATTTTGCAGGTTGCACTTACTTTTACAATAATTTCCGTCTCCGATGTAGCCACGCTTGCAGACACAATGATGGTCAATACATTCAGCAAAATGATGGCACAACGAACAAACATCAGCTGAAAAGATCGTTTGAGTGACTTAAGAATAATAAAAAACTTTTTTATCAATCCTTTTCAAATCTCTTATAAAAGGTTACCTCTCTATTTCATTAACACATTATTTGTTGAATTCATCAGCATCTTAATTTTCTTTTACTCAAAAGAGCATGCCCACTCATTTTTTAATACGACCATGGCGACTTCGATAATTATATTACGTTGCCACCCGTAAAATACGATGAGATAAAAGTAGAAGTGGTAAGGCGAATGAATAAAAAGAGATCACATTGGAAAATATTTTATTTGCTACTTCTCAATTGCAATTACCACGATATTTTCAGAAATATAATGAAAGTAGATTGTTCAACCAACATGGATCTCATTGTCGAAGGTGTCGAGTTGGCAACGCTCCTGACAAGGACGACGTAGATTTTCATGGCAAGAAAATGAAGAAATTGTTCTGACTTAAGCGCGGGCCAATATTGGCGGCATTTCAATTGCTAATGACGTTGTACAACTGGCGACTAAATTTTCCTTTTCTCTTTTTGTTTGTTTTGTTTTTTTTTTTTTACTGTAAGTTCGCCTGCTTCGCCGCGATGACGTCCTCAATTTCTGTTGACTTACTTTCGCATCTAGATCCAATGAAACCAGGCGGACAGTGGCAGTGGAAGTGTAAGTGCGACCAAGGAAGCGCTACATCATAAACAGGTTGATCTTCGTTCTCTTCCTTGGAATTGAAGGGATCCACGCAGGTGCCCCCGTTTAAGCAAGGTTGACGAATGCACGGATGAGGAACTAAAAATAGCATGGGGTAAACAGTGCACTTTATTAAAATTTTGTCTTTCGAGTAACCAAAAGCTACTTTCATAAGCATTGCAGTCTTGTCAATATATACTTACTATGACAAATATGCCCTCGATACCACTCTGGACAGGTACAGTGATATTTCCATCTGTTGTTTCTGGACCCTAGAGGATGGTCTACCACTCTGCAAGTGCCTCTGTGTAGGCATGGATTAGGTCGACACACGTGATCTTAGGAAGAAAGCAAGTGTTTCAAATTTAGCATGCTCTTTCTTTTGAGATATGAGGTATAGCATTTGATAATTATTGTAGACACAAATTCTTACCAGCGCAGTATTTTCCTACGTATCCGTTTTGACAAAGACAGGGGGCCAAAGGATTCTCTACGCATCTTCCTCTATTATGACAAGGATTCACATAGCAGATATATCTCTCTGCAAAGAAATCATAAAAGAACCATAATGAGTAGTAAGTAATAAAGTTGTTTCTTGCATGCCAAGTAAGGTAAGCAAATCAAGACTGTTGACTCATTAAAATGGGTGAAAATTAACTCAATATTCACAACAGTTATGTTTTTTTTTTGATCACCTCTTGATTCCGTGCAGTTGTGAACTCTTATATCCTCGATATAAAATTATTTGGCATTTTGATTAAACTCTGCCAAACGAACTGACCGTTCTGGTAAATAAATTACTTTTAAGAATGACCTGTCCACGTCTGATAGCTTGCTATAATTTAGCGATCATTATTTTAAGCAAGTAATGATTGGCAATTTGATATCTTCGTTTAAACGAACTGACGGTTCTGGTTAATAAGATTGCTTCTAAGAATATCTGAAATAGACTCAGTACATGTTTTCTGAGCAGTCCATGTCTGGTAGTCTCTTGCAAACTCAATTCATGGATGATTTTAATCTTGTAATCTTGTATTGAATAAGCCAGGAAACAACGGTTTGCAACCCGTTACGTTTAGCTAGTATTGAGCCACAACCTCACGTTCATACCCTCAGGCACCTGTCTTACCATGACAGTAAGTTCCATGATATTGCGGTTGACACAGACAGCGTGGGGAACCATTTATGCTTTCACAGCTTCCACCATGTTGACAAGGGTTAGGCCAACAAGCATCAGTACCTGGTTTGATTAAAAATATTAAAGATTTCAGAATTCGTTGAAGTTACCTCAGCTTTCTTGGATTCAAAATTAAGCTGTGCTGTCTTGCGCCAAAGCCATTACCAATAACTGCAAACTCAGTTTCCGTTAACCAACGCGTTTGAACACATTTTTGGTTTTTCCGAATAACTGTAACAGATATATCAAATGAGGGATCCATGAAAAGTGAATTTGAATAAAACTTTTGGATTTTCCATCTTACCTTTACAATCTTCCCCCTGGTAACCGTCCTGACAAACGCATTTGTAGCCTTGGAGGGTCTCAACACATGTACCTCCATGTTCACAGGGGTTGGGGGAACAGTAAGTTTTCTCTGAAACAATTATCATATTGTGAGGAATCAACAAGACTTAGTTCGGGGGAGAAGGAAAACGCAATATAGATATCACCTTTAAAAAATACCATTGGTTTAGATATATGTAAAGTAAAAGCAGAGGAGCCCTAGAATAAGTACTTAGTCTTTTTTTTTTACCTTCACAATCATCACCAGTGAAGCCTGTGAGGCATGTGCATTTATAACCATTGTTGATCTCTAGGCACTTGCCTCCATTTTTGCATGGTCCAGAGAAACAATACTGTTGTACTTAATAACAAAAATAAAATCAGAATCAGGACAAAAAGTTATCGCCTTAAACAATGTTTGGTCAGTGCAGAATGTTAATTACAATGTAATTTCAAACAAATGACCTCTAATTTTTTGATAACTTTAAGATTTATGCATGAAAGAGAAGTCAAACAGCCATCACGTTGCTTAAACTAAATATTTGCTCGTTTAACCAAGTGTCGTCTGTTACCGAGTCAACCATACGGAAGATACCGGGTCTCTCATTGACGCCATTATACCATCAACGATTACGATTTCATTTCTTTACACGAATGTCCAATTCATTATGCTCAGCTATGTTTAAAAAGCCGTTATCCTTCTCAGGCATGACCTACTTTCACAAGTGGCTCCAGCAAACGGAGGTGGGCAAATACAGCGATAACTTCCTGCTACGTCTTTAGAAAGTAATCCGCCATTTTTGCAAGGATTTTCTAAAAAGATAACAAGCCATAAATCACCGCATTTATAGCTAAGAGTTTGGGAGAGTTGAGTACATATGGAGCTTTTCAAGGAAAAAAGGTTGAATAACTATCAGCAAGATTTATCTTATGAACCAGGTGCTTGACAAAACAAAGAGAAATTAAAAGGGTTTGTACTTATTCGATCAACAAGCCGCATACGGTGTATATTTGTGAAAAAGGAGGGCCTAATACTCTTTTGACTCTGAAAGGTTTTTATGCGAGATGTGTAAATACAGCACAACTCAAATTTGTGCTTAGTTCAAGTTATACTCTAATTCAACATGAGAACCCTAAGGTTCCTAACGCAAATCTAAATCTTGGGTTAAGTGATCCTAATGACCCCTTTTGTTTCTTTTTATTTTGCTTCTTTTATCTAAAAATTAAATTGTTTACATGTTAGATACAGGGAGATGTGTGGCCTTTAATTATTTGCATCTCAACTGAAGCCATTAACCAATTCAAGGCGTTTTGAAATTGGTGAGAAAACTAGAATCAGAGAAAACAAACTCACTGTCATGGATGTGCACGTGTAAAATATGTTCAGAAGTTTCCTTTTTGACTGCAACAGGAACTGGGTAGTCTTTGAGATGCTCGATGTGAATCGGTAACGGAGCTTCAGAAAAGTGCGATCCTTCGTAGCTAGAAATGAAAGGGCTAAAATTCTTTCGTGTTCCTTTCACTGTTTCACCTGTTTCCTTAGACTTCCTCTGCAGGTTAAGAGACCTCGAAGAGTTTATTCTTCTTGGGGTGTTACTTCTAACCTTGTCTGTGTTGTGTTTGCGAGATACTTTCTCAACTACGAGGTTTCCGTAACTCAACGAGGGTAAAAAAATGAGACAAAGCAGAGCCAGGTGTTGGGCCCTAAAACGCGCCATATTGACTCCCTTTTGAAGATTGCCAAATTGAAAGTCCACCGATTTCATGAAAGGGGCCAGTTGAAAGTCATTTGGTTGATCATTTATTGATGCTAATTCCTTGCCTCAGAACCCCTTTTCCTGAAGACAGCAATTGAGTAACCTGTTTCATAAACAATGCGAAACAAGACAAGGAAACCTTTTTTGGGATAGTCACCAGTTTAATTTCCGAAACGGCTGGTTATAAGTATTCCTTTTTTCAGATCATGTTATTGTTTTTCCTCCAAGTTAAGAGGTTCCACAAATAATTTTTCTTGTCCCGCAGAACCCTTCTGGAAAATATTAGAGGAAGAAGCGTTTAAATTCCCTCCAATTCGATGCAGTCTTTCAAGCGGGGTATCGCTTGCTGTTTCTTGGTTGAATAAACAACAAGCCATCTATTCATTTCCTTTCCTCTGCTCGAAGGGATTTCGATATTCTTCAGTACGATAATTGTTACATGTATACAAGGATAACGTTAGGGTTAATTTTTAAGAAAAATTTCACTAGGTTATCTTGATAATTTCAATTTGATTAGTTGTGAAGAGAAAGATAATTTAAGATGACTTCAGTGACAAACTACCTTTCTTTATCATTTTTAAAATGATCCTTTGTGATCAAAAATCCCTTTTTTAATTTTTCCATTTATTCTTTGAGTCTACGTTGTAATAGTTTTCCTTTGTCGTTGCCTAATGAGTTTTAACTCATTTAAAAATGGCTTCTACCTTAGAGGAATACCATAGTCTCCTCAAATTGGCGAGGTTTCAGTTTCCACAATAGAGGAATGAAAAAGAGTGATAGTCATATATAGCAACTACATAAAAACAATCAGTATTTCGTGATCCTACCCGCTGACAAGAGACAATAGACTGGTAAACCTCTTTACTAGTACATCTCCTGCAGGTCAAAATGACGCTCATTGCGGACGGGGTTTTGTTTGTTTATTCTAAATACAATTTTGAAACACTTACGGCTGAATGGGAACAGGTGGTGTGCTTTTAATGTCCGGCTGGACGCTTTAACGCGCCTTTTTGGTTAATATTACCCTCATGATGGGTTTATCAGCCACCCAATGACCATCAGACGGATTTGCTTTAATGAGCACGCATTTGTTGCAGACTAATATTATTTCTTTTTTTTTGTTTTGTTTGATTATCATAACTTTATATCCCACTATGAAACAATACCGTGAAGTTTCGAATTTCCCATAATAGTTCTGAGACTGTTCTCAAGATGTGGTACCCGAGCTCGTGACAGAACGTACTCCAGGCCTTAAAAACCATCTCTATACCGCGTGAAACTCAATGCCATCCTCTCGAGATGCATGTGAGGTAACTTCATTATTTGAAAACCAAGTGTAGCAACATTAGAAGTTCACAGGAGTCTAGAAAGTTATTGATTGGGGCAAAGGGAGAGCTAACTTGTTGTTTACTACCGCTGCCACTTTGTTCATCTCAATTTTCTTTGCAAACTGGTATTTGTATGCAACATGATTATGCAAAGGCTTTATCAGGCCATGTTTTGGATGAAATCCAGGCCGACTATCCGACAGCAACAATAATTGAGATTGGAATTACAGTATCAACAATCTCACGTAATATAATCTCAAAGATGTCAAGAAATAGTCCTTTATTAAAGAAGACTGAAGATGCCGTTCTTTTTTTTTTTTAATTTACACTATTTGCTAATTTCTAATTATCTTTCATCCACATTGATATTGATGCATGGATAATGATTATCCTACCAAAATATAACTTAGGCTTATTTTCTTCTTATTTTTGATTACATCAGCTCAGGATTTACTTGACACAATTTCTGTTGCAATGCTTGATTCTTCGTTCAGTCCTTTTTATCCTGAAAATTAATCATGTACGAAGGAACTGGTAAGAAAATGAAAGAGTAAATTGAAATTTTCAATCAGGAAGTAATTCCTTAGAAAGCAACCATTCTTTTGAACGAGTTAATAGCCATACAGAGCCCTGTAATATGGTCTGTAATTCGGCCTGTAATTCGGCCTGTAGTTCGGCCTATAATATGGTGGGTAACGATAATTTACAGGATAGTCAGAATACTGAGGATAGTCCATGGAAGGGGGCCCATAAGATGTCGGAGAAGGCGGAGCAGCAGCAGATGGACTACTGACTGGGGGTGGAGGACCGGGAGCCAGTGGAAGACCAGGTGCGACTGGCAGTGGAGCAGCGGGAGGCTGGGGAACAGGTGGTGGAGCAGACGGTACTGGTTGAGGAACGGGGGGAGGAGAGGATGGTAGTGGTGGTGGGACAGGGGGCGGTGGGGATGGCTGCGGTGGAGGTACGGGGGGAGGTGGGGATGGTTGCGGTGGAGGAACGGGAGGTGGTGGCGAAGGCTGTGGTGGGGGAACAGGGGGAGGTGGTGATGGCTGAATTGGTGGAACGGGGGGAGGTGAGGACGGCGGTGGTGGTGAAACCGGAGTTGGAAGAGCTGTAGCAGGCGGCAGAGGTGATGGTACCGGAGTTGGCGCTGAGGGTGGTTTTGTCGGGTGAAATGTGCTAGGAATTGGAGGAGTAGGTTCAACTTCCTCTTCTTCTTCCTCCTCCTCCTCCTCCTCCTCCTCTCCATTTTCACCGTTGTGTATAGCGTAAACTGTCACACCTGTACGTCATAGTTAAAAAAAAAAACAGAACAAAAAACAGAGAGTAGATGTTGTTGCTTAAGTTTCCAACGTCCATGAAAATTCTGAAATGTTGCTATTGTTTGAAAATGTCAGGGAGTCCTATTGTAGAATGTGAGTTATTTGTACCTACTCATTTTATGTTTTATGTATCAGTCCGTGTAACTTTTCTCCAATCACCTCCACCACCGCTCAAAAAAGTGATAACGAAGATTGTGGAGGGTGAAACAGGTTGGAGACAGAAAAGGGCAGCCCTGAACAAACATCGAGATCAGCCCTCCCTTTCAATGGGCAATTAAAAAATTTTCATGTGGCAGTCCATGTTACCTTTCTCCAATCACCTCCACCACCGCTCATTAAAAACGTAACGAAGTTTCTTGAGGCTTTAGTGAGTTAGATACAGAAAAAGGAAGGGCAGCCCCATACAAACATAGAGATTAGCCCTTCTTTTCAACGGACAATTAGACAACGCAAGCGGCTTTTGCAATCTTCGTGTAATTCAATGTTAAGCATTAAACTTACAATTAGCAGATTGGGTCAGTCGAGAAGAATAATCATTATTTTACTTTCCCAGCGGTTTGACTTCGTTTATATGGTGAATAGTACATTACAGGCAGACCATACTGACGAGACGGCACTGGAGGGGCTGGAGGCGGCGGCATTGGTGATGGCACTGGTTGTATTGGATGAGGTGGGGGGTGTGGAGGCGTTGGAGCTGGAAGAAGCTTTGCAATTACTTGATTGTGTGGAACTAGCAAAACATTCATTTAACCCAAAATGCTACCGATATGACGAGCAAAGTAAAGATCTGCCCTCTAGCCATCACGAGCAAGACCTAAACTCCAAGGACTTACTTTTACCTCAGCAATAGAAGAAATAAACTCAATTCATTACTCTTTGATTATGGAAAATAAAAGTTCTGTCTTAAAGCATTTTCTTACGTATGCAGTTGTTTCCTTGCATTTGATAGCCTGGCAGACACTGACAAGCTCCTTGTAAACATGTTGAGTAGATTGGACATATTGTCGGGCAGCGCTTGTGTCGAGCTAAAGAAGCAAAGAAAGTCCATGTTTTATTTGAGCGTACCATTCAAGCTTAATGGCTTCATGCAATTAAGTCATTGTCGCCACTTGCCTCCATAAACCGAGGGATAAATGAATAGAATTTCAACTCGTAGTCTTCAATGAGTTAAATTCAATCAATGTTTCCACCATACAGTGTTACTACATTGTAGGATCTAGACCTAAATTATCGGAATATTTTCTTAAGAATCAAGTAGGACCCTGTCAGAAACAAAAGGGAAACTTACGGTAGGCTGTTCGGATAGATGGCATAACTTAAACTGGCGATAAAAATAGATGTGCAATTTGTTAGCAATGAATTAAAAGTGATTCTTTTACCTTTCACGCATTGATACCCTGTTCCTATGTAACCTGGCATACACTTGCAACGACCTCTGACGCACAAGGCATGCGCATCACACTTTGCGCACTTATCAACTGTTAAATGAGGCAGCACAAACATTATGAAATGATAAACTTATTATTGTTGGTTATTTTTTTTTAACAAAGAATCATTTTATTTGCTGACAAACAAGAGATTGACTGTCAATGATGCCAGAGACTACCCTATCCATTTGTGGCATAGAACCACTCCTGTAGGAGCATTGCTACTCTCTCCACAAGTCACTCGCCAGCAAGTTAGCTCCAAAACTTCGTCCGGTTTGGCAAGGATTTAACTGCACCTCTTTTAAAAGCCCGCGCATCACCTTTTACAACAATTGATGATTCCTAACAAATTTAGAAGACAGATAAAAGTGATACACAGTCGGTGTTTTACCTTCACAATGGGCCCCAGTATATTGCTCATCGCAGTGGCAGTCATATCCTCCGACAACCTGAACACAACTACCGCTGTTTAGGCAGGGATTAGGGTGACAGTAGTCCTTAGTCTCTGTGGCTGTTATGAATTCAATGAGACAAACATAAGAGATGTAGAAAAAAGAAAGAACTAATGTACAGTCCATTTGATGGGTAAGATTATGACATCAGTCCTTAACACCTGTTGAATTCTAAGAAAGAGATTTTTTTGAGTTGTTGACTTCCCACAATACCTGTCAACAACCGGTAAGGTACTTCATGAAACACTCAATGCTTGAGGCTGCTATTGGGTTAAAACGTTTCGGTGTTAAGTAACAAAACTGCTAATTAACTTAGCAAATTTTGCGTTGTCGCCAGTCTAGGACGAGTTTCTTACTTCAAAAAGGGAGAGCGCTTTAGATAACCTGGATAATATTTGTCTTCGCCAGTTTCAAGTATCCATAAAGTCAAGCAACTGAACAGTTTTTAGATCACACTCATTAATCTACCATTTCGAAAATTGACCTTAACTGTGTTGGAAATCAGTCTGCAAAGACCGCTATTTTAATTATTCCAGCAGAGAAAAAGTATCTGTGTCAGGATTCGAAGACGTATCTCTCTGATTATAATCGCGGTTGAGTCATCTCAAGCGCATCTTGCTAACACACTTTTCAGCTTCAGTCGCATTTTTCGTCCCAAAATTTTAGAAGTAAATATACATAAGCAAAAGGGGAACAGTACGCGTTTTTTTTTCACATCTTGGTCCTGTGTAGCCAGCTTGACAAATACAGGTTGGCGTATTCCCAACAGACTTGCAGATTCCACCATTCAGACAATAGCCGGGTGTGCAAATCGCTGTCGTAAAGAATACACAAAATGGACTCATTTTTAGGAGCTGGAGTAGTTCTTCTTTAATTTACCAATTCATTGAGATGAGCACAATGCTTCTCTTGAAAGTGAGTAGCTACATGTATGGGTAATTGATTTATATCATCTTCATGTTGCTCATTCTCACAATCTCATAACTCAGCCTATTCATTTTTTGTTCACTGATTTTTTAATCCATTGAATGAAAGCCCAAAATGCAGCTGTTTGCTAAACTTGGATTCTCTTTGTTATTCAAAAACATGTACTTAAGGTTTTAGTTCTGAAAATAATCCTTCATAACTAGTTCTCTAATATGCATATCATATCGTGAGTCTCTCGGACATTTTCCCCTGTGTTCAAGATTTTCCAATCTTCATGAAGCTAGTTTCCCTCTCTCTTTACTATCCTTTATTGTGCGAGACAAGTTGATGGGAAAAGAAGCATTTTTTATACATACCTAGTGTGAGATGAGACGTGCACATCGCTCGTTTCAAACTGCCCTTTATAAGTCAGGGTTATCGCATAATTTCTTACCCTTTTCACAATTAGTTCCTGTGTATCCCTCTGGACAGTTACACTTGTATGCTGTGTTAGTATTAATATTCTCACACGTTCCTCCATTCTGACAGGGGTTGGATAGACAGGGATTGTTGGTTCCTGTGCGAATTGAAAGAGTAGTGTACCATTTTACACTTACGTTTAAGACAAATTGCGTTTGCCTGACATGATAAACAAAAAAATGCTTCTTTACGTACTTCCTTTAGCGCATCCGTCGTCTCTTAGATCCAATCCATCCTCACAATAGCAACCGCCGTCAGCGTCGCATTTCTGTGCGAAAACAGGAGGATTTGCCGTAGGATTTCCCTTTGGACATCCACATTCTTAAAACCATAAAAAGACTTAGAATTCGCAGCACAAAAAATGCAATTTAGTATTTATGGTACTCCTGGAGAAAATTAGCAAGTGATAAAAATCGGTAAGTAATGGAAACTTAATTTGTGTTTTGAAATGTACAATTGTAAATCTCCCTACGTATAGGCAATTTACAAGTGCTGCTTGAGATTGGCTTATTCAACACAAACACAAAAATCAAAATTGCATCAAATCTGGGTTGTCCCAATTCCTATTTCTACAACAAAAGACGTAATATTTTGCTCTAATAGCTAATAATAATAATAATAATAATAATAATAATAATCTTTATTTAACGTGGAGAAACACTTAGCTGAAAGCTAGTTTACAGGTTTTCCACCAAACAACTGAAACAGATAATTCAAATTGAAAATAATATCACTAAGAATCCCATCTGGTCGAAGGCAAACCAGTTGGCTATTTACAAGCTTGGCCGAGGATTTGAACTCGGAGCTGCAGTGAAAAAAATTCAGGTAGTGGTCAGGGCGGGACTCGAACTGTGGAAAGAATCGGAACACAAACCAATTGAACTAGCTGTATGTATGCTACCTGAAGACTTCCACAACAGTTCATTTCGAAACAACAGTAATCAAAATAGCAATAATAGTGATAAAAATATTAATAATAGTAATAATAAATAATAATAACTGCTTTCCTGAAGCAATGGCCGGCCAAATTTTTTTGTTGGCTCTCATCCCAGTAAAAGAGCCATATCAAATTTTAACACTGATCGAGTCACCTTAAATAGCAATGTTTCCTTTAAGAAATTATCGAAGACGTTTTATTGTTGTAGCACATGAAATTGAGCAGTATCACATCCTCTTACCTTGACAAGTTGGTCCGGTAAACTTTCCTTTACACTTGCAAACTACCTTCCCGTTTTCACTGAGACAAGTTCCTCCGTTCTGACACGGATCACTTTGGCACCCATCAATAGCTAAGAATAAGCAAAATAGTTTTCCATGAGCCTCTGATTTTATTAGATGACTTGAATGAACGGATCAATGCAGACTAAGTCACCATTTTTCAGGTACAACGAGAATTTATTGGAGCTTCTCTTGTCGTGACTATAAATACATAAAAACTGGCAAGATGTACATTATTGAATCAAAGATAAAATAAAGTACAAAAGGTACAGAAAGGAAAGAAGTATGCTAAAAACGCTGAACTGAATTGTTCAGCCTATTTTTCAAAAGTTTAAAACGTTTATCCCTGGCCACGCGGCCAAGATATTGTTTTTAAACATTAAGAAGGATTTACTGAGAAAGTTCCCAAAACCATTTCGTTTGCAATTTGAAACCTTGAGGAAACAACAGAACTACAGTACATTGGAACCTCGATTTAACGAAGTTCTAAGGGACTGGGGAAATTGGTTCGTTATATCGAGGGTTTCGTTATATCAAGGGTTCGTTATATCGAGGTTTTGTGGTAACATTTACTGTAACTTTAGCCGGGCTGAAGCTGAAGTATCGTTCGTTATACCGAGGACTTCGTTATATAGAGGTTCGTTAAATCGAGGTTCCATTGTATATGGGTTAGATGCAATAATTAGGACACCGAATTCATTTCACATTACTTTGCACCTAAAATCATTTGTCTCGTGAAAACTTGGATATCATGAATTTTGCCTTGAATTTAGAAGTTATCTTGTTAAAATCGTGCTGATTAGTTTCTCGGTCTGAGAAAATGTCGATACTCGAGGTCTTAGCATGGAAGTTGCTATGAATTGCTAACGAATGATAGAAGTTCGGTGAGGTTATCACACATTACAATCATTATGAAACATTTTATTGCTTTGTTATATACACGAGCGCACTTCAGAACATGCCAATATCACTCACACAAATTCGATTTGCAATGACCAAAGTTTTACTTACGAAGCTCGCAGTTTGTACCGGTATATCCATTCTCACAAACGCATTTGAAGCCGCCTTCTTGGGTTTGAATACATTTCCCACTATTTTTGCAAGGATTGGGGCTACAGGCATCCTTTACTGAGTTATGATAAAATCACGGCAAAATGGTTGCATAAGAACAGAATAATGTAGTTACACAGAAGTGTGATATAGTAAAATAGTTGCGACAGGAAAAGAAAACGCTTGCATATGCATGTAGAAAGAAGAGCAAAGATACCTTCGCAGTGCTTTCCACTCGTTCCTGGAGGACACTCGCAATCATACTCTCCAGCACCAAGTTCTCTGCATTTGGCTTCATTTTTACAAGGATTTGGATGACACGGATGCGGAATTTCTGTATGAACAGAAAGAGACAGAAGAAACAAAAGATTAAAAACGAGTTCTTTTTTGCCTGCGAATAAGTTCTCAGCTCTGAACAGCTTTATGCATTCGTCTTATGGTTGTTGTTGTTTGAGTGAAATAATTTCTCCTTGTTTTGGTGTTGAATGCATAAGAGATTTATCTAAAACTAGTGGAAATGAACATAACTGATGCGGATCCTGTGTGCACTCAGACCAAATTTTGTCTAGAAAAGTAACTTTCTGTCCGGTAATATGGTGTACGTGAAAGTAAATCTGTCATGAATACTGGTCAAAGTTTTTCTAGTTAAACAACGGTAGCGTAATGATTACCTGCAAGTTAGATAGCCTCAGAATTGATTTTAAAATACAAAAATTTACGATGCTGATTCCAGTCCTTTTAAAATTATATAAAAAAAGATGAGAATAACTACGGAAACTTACTCTTGCAGGTAAAGCCATCGCCATAGTATCCTTCAACGCAAGTACAAGTCTGATTTATGCATTTTGCGTTAATGTCGCAGTGTTTACAGATGTCCACTGAAAAGCAAAGAGATACCTATAATAGAGCTCTATTTTACTATTTTAACTATTTAGTATATGGGCTATCTCTTTAAGTGTATTTAACTTTCACCCATACGTAACTGCTCTGTGGTAGTGACCAACTCGAAAGCCTGGCTCCTTTGGCTCCTACATACTCTTTCCACTGCTTTGTGTAAATTCATGTATAGTTAGAACTCTCTTCTTTTTTTTTCTACTTTTTCTCTTTCTCGTTGTTGTATTTTTAGTAGAATAAGTGGGAATAAAAGAATGAATGAATGACTGAATACGTTACCATCACGAAATTCACCTTTTATTTTTCTTAAATTAAAATTATCAAATTTTACACTTCGATAGGTTAATTTTGGAACACCATTGTTATATTTGTTTAGTTATCAGATTTCATTTTGTGGCAGTCATATGAGTACCTCTTACCTTCGCAGTTAGACCCAGTATAGCCCGAGCGGCAAATACATAGGTACTGAAGGTGGCCGTGATTCCATTGGTCAGGATAGGTGTTATAACCGCTGTAAGAGTCGATGCAGACACCGTCATTCAAACAAGGTCGAGTGTAACATGGATGTGGAACTAGAAACGAATAAAACAACTCCATTTGAGAAAGCGTTGCCAAAAACACAATCCGCATGAAGTCCACGCAACCATTCTTTGCGAAGTTTTAGGACTGAAGTGCGTTCCGTTAAAATACTCCTTCCCCTGTCAATACTGGCAAAATAGCAGGGAAGCAAGGGAAAAAATGATCCTGTTGCACCGTACGAAGAGAAAGTGGATGATCTTCATATTCTAAATTGCTGAACAACTGGATAAGTTCAACCGCGAGAAAAAAATATCTTTACACGTACTTTCACACTTATTTCCTTTAAAGAGAGGAGGACAAACACACTTGGAATGACCAAATGATACCCTGCAGTGACCACCATGCAAGCAAGGGCTGGGATGACACACGTGACCTGCCAATAGTAAAAAGAAAAATCATTATTGCCCAATGAACATTAGTATAGAACTATAAGAGTTGTATCGCAAGTACGGCAATCCGATTGGCTACGCGACTTACTGTTTAAACCCTGATAGATCGAGAATAAAGATTGTTAGCCTTACATTGCGCTTTTGAAAACAAAATAAGATAGAAATGTAGAAGTAAGTTTTGAAGGATGAGTAGATTTAAACTAGAGAAATTAGATTACTTATCTCGATCCAGTGCATGAGTTATAAACTGCAAACTAAAAGGACCGACGGGAATCCAATTCGGTCTACAATTAAGTAGTAATAATAAAACTCAACCTCGTACACGTTCTATTGCTTGTATCTTTAAATTCAAAAGCAGAAGGTCACATGGCTGTGCTCCTAGGAAAAGTGACGGGAGCCCGGTTTTCTTAAATTGTAAAATCCCGGGTACCCAGCACATGCTTCTTGAAAAAAGAAGAAATTAACCACCAAAATAGGACGACATATGATCACTTATCAACAAGTATGGGGCAAAGTATTTCTGGAGAAAAAAGGACTTTCGTAGTCACTTAATAAGAGCACAGCAAAGGAAAATTTTCGTGGAGAGCCTTGTTTCAGATTGGGATCCTTTTTTGTCTTATCCTTGTCTTTGTCTCTTTTTCTATTTTATCCGAAAACAATACGAGCATAAAAACGCGTGAAAACATACTTTCACAATTGCTTCCGGTGTATCCCAGTCTACAAGTACAATTATAACCAAACCCATCCTCGTGGCAGGTTCCAGAATTAAGGCAAGGGTTGGTGTAGCATTGCTTTGTTTCTAAGATAAGAGGGAAAATGGAACATGAAAAATGCTTCCTTAGCGTCGCCATACCAAACATTCAAAAAGTGAAATAAAAGCAAAAGATTCGATTACAGTGGGTTGAACATATTCTTTCCATGTGTGCAAAATGATTTTATAATAGTATATATATATATATATATATATATATGTGAAACCTCTTGATATTGTAATTCATACCCTGACGATTCTTGAATGAAGAGATGTTTTTAAGTATCTTTTCACTACTTTCAATGCACTTGGAGGGGGATACATTTTAAGTCAAGGACTCCTAATCCGAAAACGTACTTTCACCTGAAGTGTTTGAATTCTTATAAAGAGAAATTTAAACTTTTGCCCTTTTTGAATAAAATTAGAATGAGTAACTTTGCAATTATAAGCTCGACCTGTACATAGAGTTCCTTTGAAAGATGGAGGACAAATACAGGTGTATTTGTCACCAGCAGTCTGCTGACAAGTTGCGCCATTTCTGCAAGGATTTGGGTCACACTTGTTTATGGCTGAGAAGAGAGATCAATCAGAAAAGTTAAAAAATTACAGAATAATTATGGCTCAAGCCCACTTGAAACACATTTGTAATTTATATGCGCCATATCGCGAATTAGCTTGCGATTTATATTGGACAATATTAAGTAAATTAGTTTGTCCGTTCTGTGGAACGCTTTCTAGTTACCTTGTTAGTAAACTAATTAACAAGTAAATTAGTCTTTTAGTCAGTCAATCTGTCAGTTAATCAATCAGGTTTTCAATCCTGCGTTCTTCGCTTTGAAGAATAGCTAACACCTGAAACATCAGCTTCAGAGCCTCTTCATAGTGGCCAATTTTTATTTTAACATAACCAAAGTAAAGCGTGCGCTCTGATTTGTCAATTCAGCGTCCATCATTTGCCCATGAGTGTACGCTGCTGACGTGAGCAAATGCAAAGACTAGTTTTCCGCGCGTGCTTTTTTTTACTGGTCACGTTAAGATTTGTTAAATTAAAGGAACTCTTTTGTTATATTGTATCAGTGTTATGTTATAAAACAAATGGTAAACACCACAGCGTAGACTATTGAGTTATGGATGCACTTTGGAGGTTTGCTAAGCACTCAAGAAGGTAGAGTCGCTTTCGACTATCGCCTCGCGCGACTCCGTTACGCTTCTTTCGTGCTTAGCAATCTCCTGCGTGCATCCATAACTCAATAGTGTACGCTGTGGTGTTTACCATTTTTTTAATAATCAACTTAGTTGATAAAACCAAATTACCTTGTTATCCCACTTATGCAACACCACAGTTTCTTTAGAAACATACCCTCTTAGTCATTAGCTAGTTGATTAATGAGTTAGTAGGTTAGTTGGTCAAGTAGTCAATTAGTTTGTTTGTACAACAGTCATTTAGTTTATCAATAAGTCAATTAGTTATTTTCTATCATGTAGTGTAAAATCGCCAAAACAATTTGACCGAAATAATACTATTAGCGATCTACTGTAGTCATGCTCTCAGAATGGTACTTACAGTCACAATGCATTCCTTTAAATCCTTCTTGACAGATACACGAGAACTTTTCTTCAGAATCCGACCTTGTGCATACCCCCCCATTCTTACAAGGGTTTGGGTGGCAAGGATTAGGCTCTGTTAAAATGAATCGAACCACCGGTAACTGGAGTGAAAAACTAATTGACTCATTAAGTATTTTCTCAAGTGGCCTATCAAAACTGAAAAGGTATTGCAAACTGAAACCAAGCTGTACACCAGTGCAATGCGTTTGGTTAAACTTGAGTTTTCCCTCAAAAGCCTTCGACGATGTTAAGGTTGTCTTATGAACCTCTCTCATACGTCATGATTAAGTTAATTTTTTTTAGGATGACAACGAGTAGGATCGATTATTTCAGTAGAGTTTGACCATTAGTCAATAGCACCGTGCTTAAGGCCATCTTCAAAGTTTAGTCTCACGTTTTTTTCAAAACGTTGTCGTGTCTCAACGTGGCAATGAAACCCTAAGGCTTACAGTAAAAAAAATTTCATTCACTTCAGGTTCATTGATTGGTCATAGCGTCAGTTTTGCTCTTGCTTCGCTTTAATATCAAGTTGAAGTGTTTCTCATACCTTCACAAACAACCCCAAGAAATCCATGGGGGCAACTGCACTTGAATGCACCAGAAATCTCAGTACATGTAGCTCCATTCTTACAGGGGTTTGAAGCGCAGTAATTTCTATCTGAAAACAGAAGGTAGCAAGGACGAAGAGAAAAGAAACAAATCTTTTGTAGTTTCTCAAAGTATCGATACCGCGTTGGAAAAATAAAATATTTACCTTAAACCACTGTAGAAAGTATTTACCTTCACAATTCTTGCCCCGAAATTCTTTGGGACATATACAGAAGTACTCATGGGGAAGCTTGACGAAAATCCCACCATTTTGGCACGGATTTAACTGGTCTACAAGAAAAGATAAAACTATATTTCATGAATTTCTGTTTCAGTTCCGCGTGTTGTGTTTGTTTTTCGCTTGATTTGCTGCTAAGTAGAACATGGAAGACTTTAAAGGATCGTTTTTTAAATGAATTATTCCACTGAATTTGTATATATTCATGTTCGCTCTAATTAATTAAAAGATTTGAATTTTTAGTTCTTCTTTTCTATTCACTCTCGAATTATCGCTGTGCTTTTCAATCTAAACTATAGCTAATCTGTTCCGGAACGCAATCTTCGAAGTCAACATAAACCCTATGCCTTGGGCTGAATGCCTAATCAAATGTGAAAACAAGAAATTTAAAAGTTGAAACACCTTGAAACTGGTTGTAAGGTCAATAGTAAAGCAATGTGCGAAAAAAATCACTCGTTCTTCGAAATATAATTTGAGTTCAAAGTCATCAAATACATTGTTCAGTATTCATGGTACAATCATGAAGGAGAGATAGCTGACAGCCTCAAGTTAATCACTGTGTCAGGAGAAGGTGAAACCGAAACAGAGGAGTTTCGCGTCAAAGGGAACTCTCTCCCAACGAGCGAGTTCACCACCTGTTTACAGCCGGTGAGAACTTTCACCTTCACCTTCTTTCTTCCCTCAATGTTAAATAATTAGTTAAAACTTACATTTGGGGCGAAGATGAAGATGGGAGACATGTACGTGGGATTGTACAGGAAATGGTACAGGATACGGTCTAGGGACGTATTGAACGGACACAACAGGATACGGCTTTGGAACCAGATGAACTTGATGATGAGCAAATGGCGGTGGTACCACATTCAAAGGTTGTGGGAAGAAATATCTTCGGCTTCCACTCTCGTCGTTAACTTTCCTCGTTGATGTAGCATTAGTAAGAACACTTTCCTCTTGAACGGTGAGGCTTTTGTCCCTTGCCCCTCCAGCATTGACTTTATGATCATTGCTTGCAGTTTTATGAGGTTTAGTCTCCTTGCGAGTTATACCCTGCCGTTTACCAACAGCAAGAAGGCGCGGATTGCAACATAAACAGAATAGTTGGTATACAGCTAGAACTTTAAAGTAAAACATATTACATGTTATTTGTTCAGAGACGACATCAACGAAGGCAAATCATTCCATTGTTAAAAAGACACTCTCCAGCTCGCCTAAACTAGTAAATAATTGATAGATCGACTGGTGCTTAGCTTCAGTGCCAGCGATTGTAGATTTTCTTTTAAAACAAACTTTAGATAATAATATCATATATCTTATTGTGTAGGAAAAACTAATTTATCAAATCGGTGAAAAAACGGACCACATGAAAATTTTGAAAAGAACAAAACCATCAGGATTAACGAAGAGCAAATAAATACTAACCTGTTTTTATGATTCTTCAATTACTAGATTAAGCTCACTGGTGCTGCGACCATCACCAGACGTTAAGACGATAAGATATTTCTGCCTTCAGTTATTCGTGTCTCTGAGAATATAAATTCTAGTTTAACATCCAGGTTGGTAATTGACTAAAAAAGCGTTTTCTGTGATTTGATGTATAACTTTCGTCCAAAGACTCTTGCAAAGTAACAATTTCTCGTTAGATTAAATTGAAAACCTCCTGTCATCTACAGTAGTGGTCAGGTGGACGGAAACAAGGCTAACTCTTACAGCCGTTATTTTCACTCTACTGAAAAATATTAGATTTAAAAGGGTATGTTGCCCAGGAATAAACTTACAAATTAAAACATTAAACGCCCATGCTTGGGTTTCTGATTTGATTTTGTAGTTTAGCACTATCAAAGGCCGTTGTACCTGAATGCACTTACTGACATAAGAGTCGAATATTACAAAAGGTGAGGTCTTATAATTCACCCCCTTATTTTTGTTCCCTTCGATATACCCAGGGTAAGTCGATGTTGATGTTTTGGATAAGTGGGATAGCTTTTGAGAGAGAAATTTGTCATTAGTGAATAAATACAAGGAACTTCCAGCCTATTCTGTGGCTGATTCTATCACAGTGACTTATGAAGCTTTTAATGAGTTGCATCGCGTGTTATACCCAGAAAACATCCTCAGAAGACTTAATTTAGGGTGTTGGTAAGAGCCACCTGCTATGGCAATCGAGCGTGAAGATAGTGATCACTTACCAGCCATTATTTCAAACTATGTTACCATTGACGATCACAGATAACAATATGTGGCAAACTCGATCGACTATGACCTCATTATGATTGTGTTATGTCTTTGAAATGTTTAATAAAATTAAAGCAAGTTTTCAATTCAAATTCTTCCCAAAACTAGCCGAATTCCCTTTCCCTCTCATATTATTTCAGTCTACCTTAACATCCTGAAGATCTTTTCGAAAAGCACACTTCTGGCTGGATACCATCCAGAACGTGACAAATGTCAAAACCATTGCGCGTATATATACGTTGTTCAGGTGCCTTTCTTTTTTCTTCTTCGTTTGTCTAACACGACAAAAAACAAACTCGTAAACGGGAGTTAATGTGAGGGAGGAATGTTTGGGCTTAACATTTTGCTATCTGCCTGTAAAACTTAACTGAACTCGCTTTTACATTTTTTATCTACTGAATAGCGCTTGAAAACAGAATTCGGCTCACGAACATTGCTATTCATGCTCTCAATGGAACCGTGTCGAGTACCAAGTCTTTCAAACCGCAAGATGGCTGCGTGTATTTTGCTCGACAAAGCATACTTTAGATACAGCCAAGAGAAAGGCATGGCTTTTAGTTAATAGCGATTATAAAGGGGTTAAATATTGAAAAAAATACTGAAGACAGTTTATTCAGATGTGGTTTTGAATCGACATATAAAGGAAAACACATTTTAAATCGCACTGTTTATTGTTTCATTTAAACATTTTAACGAGGGTATTTTGAGACCTCAATGTTGGAAACTTGTTTCTAGGCTTTTAAATTGCCTTGGGTAAATGTCTCCAGACTTGATCTTGATAGGGTGTCATCATTTGTCTTTTTTTTCTATTTTTATTCACTTTTTTCGTCTTTATAGAGACTATTATTGATAGTAATGTCGCAGAAATTGCTTTTTAACGCTCATGAATTAGTCAATTAGTTACTGGCCGATGGCATCAAATAGAACAACAGGATCGCTACCTTGCAAATGCCAACAACTCACTTTACTTGTTACATATACAAAATACTTTTATCGCACGATAAACAAAGGGGTCATACGAATTTGTAAACGATATTGATCTCAAAAATTTAATGAATAATTGAGCAAAACTAATTTTCAAAGGTTTAGTAACTGGAAAGCATTGTCTCGTAAAACATGGTTCTCTTATTATTAGTGATGCTACAGATATACCGTCGTCAACATCACATTACATTGAATTTCCTCACATCACTATATTTGTGACTACTTTCATCAGGTTTAAACGTTTTTAATAGACCAGAACCCATAGTCTTGATAGACAGATGCACCTTAAGGCAGGAAGGAGGAGGGAGGGGGGGGGGAGGTCATCATCTCTCAGTGTAATAGACTCTCATGTTAAAGCGTGTTTCTCTCTCTGTTCTTAACCAGTGATCTGTAAAGACAAAACAGGATAGGACTCAGTACTGACGTTGTCTTTGTTCCAACGGTTCTTTTTTTCCCAAATCCAAACTCCAACGCAGACCATACAAATTTAAAAGGGAATGTATGCAATTGCTCCAACTGAACGATGAAAAATTGCTAAGGTCTTAAATCCAGAAAGAGATCTTCAGTGTGAAAGTCTGCCTTGTTTTAACAGTCACCTTGTGGTAGAGTTTTAATTTCCAACTATTGATTCGTGCTCCGATGTTGTCCACTTTTTCGAACTGGCTTTGCTCTCTCTGTCCACCAATATTGAACCCATGACAAATCAACTTCATCTACCCTTTTTTAATAATTCCAACGTTTCTTATTTGTATGTAAATATAAAGAAGACACGCAATGACATCATTGATCCCAAGTGTGGACTTACTTTTTTGCACCTGAAGGTGGCACACACGTTCCTTGAACACACGTGTTTGGGAGAGGGCAGTTGTTGCAATGATCGACAGCTAAATCACGATTAAAGAATGATAACAAATATAAGTAAAGTTAGACATTTGAATGAAGATCAAATTTATTTCTGAGCAATGAGCTTGTTAAGGAGGCCGAAGTAAATTATCTGCAGGCGTAAGATACCAATTCAACATATTCTGAGGACCAGGCGAGGAGCACAAGGGTAGTATTACTTGGATACGTATATAAGGCAACGTACATCACATGGTGGTCATCGCTCCAGACTCCCAAACCAACTGCGTTTTACTTCTCTAAGTTGGTACACTTAAGTTGGTTAAGGTTAAAAATTGCTTTTAAATTTCTATAAACAGAAAATAACATTTTCGTATGTAGAAACGAATTTATCCTCTAGTGTTGAAGATATCTATTCATAGTTCGCTTAAGACTGCTTATTTATTTAATAATGATTATGTGCTACAGTAAGCACCCTTTATTTTGTTATTGGCACAGCCTGTCACCAGACCTAGTTTCTTTAAAATCATATTACTGAGGGGCGAGCGTCATGAATGATGCCCACTTCTCCTCTGGGTAGAATCATTTGAGCTTCTCACCTCTGCAGTTATATCCATTCCCATGGTAAGGTTCAATGCAGACGCAAATTCCATTCTGGCATTGAGCAAATGGACTGCAGCCCTGACACTGAGTATCGTGTTCTATTACAGCGAAAGAATCAATAAACGGTGATGAAATATCTCAGTAACAAACCACCAGCGATATGTCTGGAAGCTTCCAAATGTCGTAAAACCTAGGAATTTGCACTATTACGAGTCCTTTCCGCAGGTCTAGAAACAGTGAATGAACTAGCCAAAACATGACATCAAGTTTCTTTTCGGTGGTGAGAAAAAGGTTACAGCATCAATTCATCGAGGGTCTGGGCCTGAGATTTAGGCTGACACACGGAAGTATAACAAGCCTCGACTTCGTTTTCCCGTCGTGAAGTCGAACGAGACTATTTTCTTTAATATGACTGAACTTATTTCTGGTTTAAAAATTTACCTCTCTTTTTGTACCTGTGTCATTGGGTTCAGTGGGGCAGAAATGTCGCGTTCGTCATTATAGAACAAAGGTTGTTTCCCATTTTTACTGGATTAACGAAACGACAGCGTATCGCAAGAAAATGTAATGATGACCAAACAGACATAGCATTTATTATGTACACTTCTTACCTTTTTCGCATTGATAACCGTTTCCATAATATCCATGTTTACATTTACAATGGCCATTTACACAGATGGCGTCCACGTCACACTTCTCGCACTCGTCAACTGGAAATCAACGATGAAAGAAAAAAAACCGATAATGATTTAAAAAGCCCTTTCCCTCCTTGGCAAGACTAGGAAAATTCCAAAAAATTTTAAATTCGCCACTCTCGCGATAATATGGGTCAGCCGGGACGTATCACTTTCTTCTGCAAATAGTGCGAGACCTGTTTTAGAGAAGTTTGTGGCGAGACCTGTGGTCATAATTTCTTTTTAAGTCGGCTACTGAATATGCATTTCTCCAACTTTTAGCTTACGGAGATTAGAGGTATTTTAAAAAATCTTTTGATAATTTTTAGCCTTAAACCTTTCGGTTTTACAACAGAAAGCCTTAAAAAGGTCTAAAGCTTTAAAAAAAGAAAAAACAAACAATTCATAACTCTTACTTTCACAGTTAGGTCCGCTGTACTGAGTCACGCAGGAACAGTCATATCCACCTCCATTCTCCGTACACGTTCCTCCATTCATGCAAGGATTTGGGTGACACGGAGACTTAATGCCGCCTGGCGTCCCAGGACCACCACCTATGTGAATTTTTCATTAGCTCTTTGTTTAACGTCTTACCACTACAGACTTAGATCGAACAAGCCCGCTGGTGTTCGTCATATGCTTAATTCGACTGCTGAAATGATGCCGAGAACAGAACATTTTGTGAAGCCTTAAATAATGGAGTCGGCGGTGCTCAAGCAAATGATAGACATTTGGTAACGATTAGCTTGCAGTGTAGGTGTCTCATTTGGGCGAGTAAACATTATAAGCTCGTGATCGCTTATCCGAACGCCATATTTGATTTGGAGTCACAGTGGACGGTGGGGTTAGGGGGCGGGGGAAGAGAAAGAATACGCGTAATTTTCACATCTCTCACCCCACCCCCTCTCCTTACTTTTTACAGTCAGTCACCCTCTCGGTACAAATTACTTTCTACCCACCCTTCCGCTGCCATTAATATCAAAGATGACGATAATTTTTCGCTAGGAAAACACTGAGCACTCGTTCTCCCAAATTACGCCTGCTCTACAAGCTAGGCAACGATATATATAAAAATTAAATGTAAAATTAAAAGAATGAAAAAAATTTTAAGTCAAAAAAAATTTTGGAGACTGATCATCGATGGTGACATGTCATCGTTAAATAGTCATGTTTAAGTTTTAATCATTTTCATTCTTAAAAAGAGTTACTGTTGATAGAAAAATATGTTGCCTGGTAGTAGTGCTTCCGATCACATCTTCGTCAAATGAAAATTTACCTTTAGGCTTTTCGCAATATTCTCCTTCATACTCCTCAGGACAGGTACACACAGGTTTCCCGTCTACAGCCGTGCATTGGCCTCCATTTTGGCACGGATTAACGTCACACGGGTTATTCTTCAATCCTAACTCACAGTTTGTGCCTGAGAAGCCCTCTTTACACAAACACTGATAAGAATTATCTTGACCAACACACTCCCCGCCATTTTGACAAGGATTTGGATCGCATGGATTGGCACGTGAACCGGGTGCTGAAAGAAAAAAAATTAACATGCAATAAAACAGAAACTCGTCAAGCAAAAGGTTGAGACAAAAGCATAATACTAGCAAGTTCAAAGGTACCTTTAGTTGAATAAACAGGATAATAATAATAATAATAATAATAATAATAGTAATAATAATAATAATTTCTATTTATATAGCGCTCATATCCTGAGCTCATGGTGCTTTACAACACTGTGCGGGGTACTTTACCAGACTGCTAAGCAGTTTACAATCGATTAAAGGTAAATCTAACATGCCCCCTCCCCCCAATTTCGAGTAAACAGGCCAGACCACATTACAGTAATCTCATGAGTGGATTCTTTAACGTCCCCTGCCTAACCAAATTAACTAATTAATAGATGCAGGATACGGGACCTACGGTTTATTCGTCCTTATCCGAGAAGACTAGAATGTCTATCCATTTCTTGATGTTATAGAAAGGTAGCACATTCTCCTCAGTTATTTTAAGACCTTGAGTGTTGGTCCGGCCGGGGCTTGAACCCTCGACCTCCCGCACAACAGTCCGGCGCTCAACCAATTGAGCTAACCGGGAGGCGGTTAGGAATAAGTCAACGACAGTTCTCAGAATTATACACCCTGAAAATGTAGAAAAAATTTTCNTTACATAATAATAATAATAATAATAATAATAATAATAATAATAATAATTTAATATTTATATTGCGCAAATTAACATGTGGATATGATCAAATGCGCATCACAACACTTTTCGGGGGACTTTGGCCGGACTGCATCAGCAGTTTACAAACAATCGAAGGAAACTTATTTGAAGATGCCCCCTCCCCCCAATTCCCAGTAAACAGGCCAGACCACATCACAGTAATCTCGTGAGTGGGTTCTTTAACGTCCCCTGCCTAACCAAATTAACTAATTAATAGATGCAGGAGACGGGACCTACGGTTTATTCGTCCTTATCCGAGAAGACTAGAATGTCTAACCATTTTTTGATGTTATAGAAAGGTAGCACATTCTCCTCAGTTATTTTAAGACCTTGAGTGTTGGTCCGGCCGGGGCTTGAACCCTCGACCTCCCGCACAACAGTCCGGCGCTCAACCAATTGAGCTAACCGGGAGGCGGTTAGGAATAAGTCAACGACAGTTCTCAGAATTATACACCCTGAAAATGTAGAAAAAATTTTCCTAGATTTTCTATTTAAAGGCAGCTATTTTTTGTAATTATAAGACTTTCGGCCTTTCTTTATCCAGATTCTTAGCAATATTTCTCTTTTCGCCGAAGAGTGCGCGCGGGGTTTCGTCATGAGATGCTTGGCGCGCTAGCGGATTATGTAGTATTCTTCAAGTGTTTGAAAATATCGGAAGCCCTATCAGCGGTTTAAATCCCATTTATGCGGCTGAAAAAAAAAATTGTTTCTTTGGTTAAGTGTACCAAGCAGTATAGAATGCGTATGCACATGATACAAGCTCAAATACCGGAGATGAGCGGAAATTACTTAAGACAGCTCAGTCCCTTATGCCGAGCAAGCAATCATGACAGGACGGAAAATGCGTGCACTGTAAGTACCTCTCGTTGTCCCATAAAAAGCCTTGGAAAACTTTTCTAAGGCTTTGTATGGGCCAACGGAAGGTACTTACAGTGCCAATATTGACGTCAAGAATGAGGGCTAAATAATTTCGTATTTTATTTCAGACTGCCATTTTGACAAAGAGGCTTCTTTCCGATACAGGTCGAAGCTATTGCCTTGAAAACTAAGAAATAGGAGAGTGAAGCAAAAAAAATAATAAAATAACATTCTTACCACGATAACGTCATTTGATTTTACTGGCGTTAAGGATACTCTTTCCTTCTTTGAGCAATACAGCGCAGTTGCAATTGAAAAGCAAGAAGGGCTTTCAAAGAAAGTGTTGCGAAACCACTGAATATATCTTGCGCGCAACTTTCCATTGGCTAATTTATTACTTTCATACTACTACAAAGATTAGCAACTACAGTGACTAAACAGATACAAGCTATGCTTTTTTTTTTAGACTGTTTCGTAGTATCTAGTTTCGGAAACGTGTTCTATCTCCTTTTGCATCCCAAAACAAGCGTCCGTCAGTTTTTCGCTCGGTGATAAATATGAGCATTTGTATCTTGTTGTCCGTGCAGTACTGTCCTGTCTTTTCCTTGTTAACAAGTCGTGGTCAGTTGACCGTACAGTTGTTGTTGTCGTCATCCAGTTTATTAGGTCGCAAAGGCCATGGAAAGTGACAGAACAAGACATTTCCCTTCACAAACTCCCATGGCTAGTCGTTTGAAGGACATAAGATGTAGATCATCTCTAACTACCCGGAGGACCCTATGAACCTGGAGGGCCGTAGCCACCTTGGCTACTTGCAGGGCTATTTGGTATCGGGCTAGATGGAGGAGCACCAGGAGGGCTAATTCCTGATAAGCTTCCACTTCCTGGTGCTATTTTGGAAATAAAACACTTTTTAATGGTTGTTCACTGCACTTGATTAGCAAAACTGTTTTATTTTTGAATTGTAAGCATGCAACATGATCTAATGAAAGGTTCAGCATGACTCTTACTTAAAAAAAAACAAAAAAAACAAAGAAATAAGCAGAACAAAACAGATTAACAAAAAAAGCCCATGCAGACAAAAATAACACTTCTTGTGCCTCTGATTATGATTTTGTATTGACCGTGAACTGGGGAGGGGGCTTTAGGCACTTTTTAGAGGATTTGATGTAAGATCTTTCGGAATAGTGAGTGTTTCTAGGCTGATTTCCCAAGACTTTCCATGTTCTTTGCATTCAAAGCTTGACTGCAAGGTACGCCCTAGCAAAACGGGGGAGAGTCACATACAATTCAATAAAAATCGTTTAAATCAAAGTTGGTATTACTTACGGCCTCCTTTGGGTGTGCATGTCTGTCCATCACCAACCCATCCCTCCATGCAAACACAATTCCCATTATCACAGCGAGCATGCGAGTCGCACTTGGCACATTTGTCAACTACAATAAAAATAACGATTATAAAACAGTGATAGGTTGCCTTTGAAACGCAAAAGACAATAACAGGCAGAAATGCCTGTTTATGTAGTTTTTTTGTGGGTAGGTTTCACGAAAAAAGCTAAACAAGTGCTAGAAAAATAAACCGCCAGAAGCAATGGTAACTTGTTTGTATCTTTGCTTTTTACATTAGCGTTATTGGTCAGTTCGTACACAGTTTACCTGTTGGATCCAATCTATAGTGTTTAAGGTTTCCTGTAATTCATAACGAGGGACAGTTATTTCGTACATACTCGTTCAAGAATGAAACTTTTAATGGCCAGATGAGTGAAATTTTATCTGTGTGCGTATGTGCAGTTTTCACGAGTAACAACAAAATGTTCTTTCATCCCAATAAGCTGACCATATAGTCACCAAGTTAAAATTGTGTGAAATATTACAAAAGCAATGACGCGTTTGTGTTAATTTTGAGCTTGTATACGCACTTACTATTGCAGAAATTTCCCTCAAACTGTGGAGTGCATTCACACGTTGCCACTCCATTCATTTCTTTGCATGTACCCGAGTTTTGGCATGGATTCGGTGAGCAGGGATTTGCCTCTGTAAATATTATGATAATGAATTATGAACAATGTGCAGACTGCTTGAATTCGAATTTTCTCTGACCTCCCTTTTTTAGTGCAAAAAATGTAAATAATAACATAACTAACGATTCTTTTTTTAGGATGAACATTATCTCTTTGGAATGCTCTGTGAAGGACGTGAGTATAAAAATAAAACAAACCAAAACAATACTCATGGATTAAAGTTGCATAAGTAATAATGTAAATAACATTATGAGACGCTAACTTAAAATGATTTTAACTTTACTGCGGAAAAATATAAAGAAATTTCAAGCGGAGAACAATGAACATGAGAACTTGACTTAATGGCAGTTAAAGGGAACAAAATTGCACCATTGTGGGAAAATTAAGTTGAATGTGACAGCTCAATGCCAAAAGAATTACATCTGGCGATCCACCGTCTCTTTTCACTGGACACGAATGACAGTCAAGAATCGTGTAATGAAATTCACATACTTTCGCAGTCATTTCCTTCAAAATTGCTGAGACAGCTGCATCTGTAACCATTTTCTTCAGGGATGCATGTTCCACCATTTTTGCAAGGATTTGGAACACAGTATTGTCGAGCTAAAATAAAAACCAGCGTAAAAATGATTTTAGCCAATACGTGGGAAAGCTTCTTTATTGTTATTAAAATCTACAAAAAACATTTTGGTAAGAGTTTTATTTTTATTAATTAAAAAAAATACTTCAAACGGGTTTTACAGTTAATATTTTACTGCTTAAAGAAGAACATGAAAATTATTGCAGAGGTATTGTTTTGTTAACTTGGAAGTTTTTGGATTTTATTGACTGTGACAACAAGATCGCTCGCAACGTTTGGTGGGTTTTTTCGTTTTATTGACCTTTCCTGTCTGACTCGTTACAGAAAACGATGTTGGAAAAGTATGGCGTCAACTTCTTCCACTTACTTTCGCAGTGTGGTCCAGTCCATCCCAGCGTACATTCACAGTCATAGGATGAGTCAGTTGGAAGACAGCTTCCACCATTTTTGCAAGGATTAGGATGGCAAACATTTTCTAGAAGCAAAACGCATTATTTTTATACTCAAATTTAGAGATTTGAGGAAAATAATAAAAAATCAATTTATTTCTTGGAGTGCATATGCACAGTCTCCCTTCGTTTGGAATTTTTGCGTAGAGTTCAATCATATATGGATTAAACAGATCTTTATAGATACTGCAACCAACAGGGTGTCACTTTATTCTTTAATTGAAAGACAAAACTACCAGCACGCTCTATGTACGAAGGAAAGATAAAAATGATGTAATTTGTATAATTTAGAGAACTCAGTCAGTAGGGTAGAAAAAGAGGAAAAAATTTGTATTCTCCATTGAGGACTCGAGAAAAACACAACACAATCTCGCGGTCGCTTCATCTAACAACTGAACTACAAGGGTGTGGTTGCTTATCCCCGCCAAATACAACCTCAGTTTTTTTCATATATGGAAATCACAACTTTTAAGGAACAACCGAGTTTCCTGCAGTAATACTTACTTTTGCAAGTTTTTCCGTCTCCATGGTATCCCTCGCTGCAAACGCAATGACCCAAGATGCATTCTGCATTTGGACTGCAATATCGACAACTATCATCTGCCAATAAAACAAATTTACTCCTGACGCGGCAATTCATTTCAAAATGTGCAATCTTAATGCAATAAGTGAAGGGAAAAACTTCTTTTTTCAATCAGTTTTCCCCAAGTCAAAGTGCCTCTTGATGGCTAACTTGAGCATAACAACAACAACAATTTAACATTTATATAGCGCAAACTACTTTATAGATAATCAGTCTCGCTTTACAATCAGTTAAGGTGAGATCGGACGTCAGAATTCATCAGGCGCACTATGCAGCCACTTCAGTCCATGTATTGATCTCACCTTCCCTCCCCAATTCACCCTAGACTAGACACTACACAAAGATAGACCACAACACCGGGAACTACGTGAATAGACTAAGCATAGACTAAGTATGACGATATTGTTTGGAAAATAAGAGGATCTTTGAATATATTTAGAAGAAGAGCATCGACGAATCATTCCTGCTTTGTTTAATCCGTTCTGCACCACTGCAATCGTCGCTGCCGAGGTCCTGGGAATATTTCCTTATGCTGGTCTCATTAAAACAAAAAAGTACCCCTGAAGGCAATCTATTGCTTTCTTCATTGTTTTCTTTATGCAATAGCTGTATGAATTTTGAAGTAAGGCACTGAGCAGAAATCTTGCCACGGGCCTGTGGCTCATACATAGGCCTGGTGAAACTCGATCTGATCTGACAACACCGCCCGCACGCATTACATAGCGATAAAAAGCTGACTACGATAAGGACATCCACCGAAGTTAAAGCGACCTAAGTTATTCAACTCTTATGGAAGGAATGATTTATTCGCTACCTTCACAGTTATGCCCAGAGAAAGGAGAAACACACTTGCAAATGTATGACATTCCATTCTGTGCAATGTCTGCAAAAGAGGGACCGGCGTACATATTTGACTCCCCGTTGTTGTGGAGAAAATAAGTGTCCACGCATGTTCCTCCGTGGAGACAAGGGTGTGATAAACAGGCACTCATTACTAAAAATGTAGAAAAAAGCCAAACGTTAATCTTTGTTGCGTAGCAACACTAAACAGAAAGGTGACAGGAATCATAATAGGCATAATAAACTCTGAACGAAATCAAAATCGTTCATAGACATAAATTAATAGGTTACATCTATTTTCTGTTGCAAAACAAAATGAAAGTGATGGAAATACTTACAAAAAAGGAATTAAAACAGATAAAAAAAACTGGTGCCCAATAGGAACAGTTGCATTTTTGCGACCTGTGATCAATTTTCAGTAGTCAAATGAAATCTTACCCAAGTTTCGTGCTTTCTTCTCTTTCCATATTTTTCTACATGAAAATAACCCTGTCATCCTTTTCGTTTCTTCAATCAGTGAAAGGTTCAGGAAATTCTGCTTTTTTACATAAAGATCAACTCTCCTAATTGAAAAGAGCAGAAAAAATTAACTTTCTGCATTTACTTTTCATAGAACAACATGCAAAATTGTTACCTTTTTTGTTAATGCTAGTCAATTAGGTGAAAAGTTAAGAAAAGGTACCTTTTTTAAGCTTTCGAGTGGAAATATTTTAACGTCAATATTGTACGCTTTTAATCCATTTCTCACTTTATTAAACAAAACTTTAAAGCGCGAAAAAGGTACCTTTTTTTCAATTTGAAGCGATCTCTTCAAAAGCGCGAAAAAGGTACCTTTTTTCGGTTTAGAAACGTTCCAATCAAAAGAGCAAAAAAGGTACCTTTTAATTGAAACGTCAGTTGTTTTAAAAGGTACTTTTTTCGCGCTTTTGATGAGATTGCTTGTAAACCGCAAAAAAGGTACTTTTTTGCTCTTTTGATAGGAACGTTTCTAAACAGCAGAAAAGGTACCTTTTTCGCGCTTTTGAAGAGATCGCTTCAAATTGAAAAAAAGGTACCTTTTTCGCGCTTTAAAGTTTTGTTTAATAAAGTGAGAAATGGATGAAAAGCGGACAATATTGACGTTAAAATATTTCCACTCGAAAGCTTAAAATACCCGCACTTTTTTTCTCTAAAAGGGTACCTTTTTTTAACTTTTCTTCTAATCGACTAGCATTAACAAAAAAGGTAACAATTTTGCATGTTGTTCTATGAAAAATAAATGCAGAAAGTTAATTTTTCTGCTCTTTTCAATTAAGAGAGTTGATCTTTTTGTAAAAAAGCAGAATTTCCGGAACCTTTCACTGATTTTCTTCCCCTCTTATTTTGAGTTTTCTAATCGTTTTTATTTTAGGCCATCTCAATTCACTTACATTCGCATCTGTCTCCATGGTTACCAACTTGACAAACGCATCGGTAAGAGGCTCCCTCTTCCAAACAAGAACCGCCATTGTGACATGGATTAGGTTTACAGACGTGATCTGATAAAAGGCATAACTAATGTAAATATCTTCGCTAAGTATCTGAGACACTCAGCAACTATTCACCAAAGTAAAGGTGGCTGGCGTTGGATATTTACCGAGACGCGAAGCGGTTAATTTTCCTTTAAGTATAAACTAAGATGTTGAGTCACTATAGCACATATACATGATTCCTCAAAGTGCGCGTTGCTCAGAAGTGAATAGCAAAGTATATTCGGAGTTTGAGCAGCCAATCAGAGTGCGCTTTCAACACTATCTACTCTCTTAGTATATGCTAATACACTGTTTTAGTTTATACTGAGGCACGTTACGCTCCATCTAATAAATAGGACTGGTCCGTTTATGAAAAATTAATAACTTTCAGAGTGATTTGCTAACTCTTTCAAGTTTTAGAAAGGAAAATGGAGACCAAAAAATATGGGACCACTTCGCGTAATAACAGCAATAGCTGCAACTTAAGCAGTGAATAAATTATATTATTAAAAACTGGATCATTGGATAATGTAATTCAAGACTTTTCATTGGCTTTGCCATTATGGTATATGAGCCAATATACCGTAAACTACGATATAGCAAGCGTACGCATAAGCTTAAAATTAAAAGGGAGCTAAAAATTTAATAAAATTTAATAATTTAATGTAGCGTTTTAAATAAAACAATTATTCCACGAGCGCGCGTTGCTTATGAGATGATAGATTGCCAGCGAGGCGCGTAGCGCCGAGTTAGCAATAATCATCTCATATCTAACAAGCGCGAGTGGAATAATTGTTTTATTAAAAACGCCGCCAAGATATTAGACAAATCTTACCAAGTCTTAAATTTTTTAGTTCCCTTTTAATTTTTAGCTGATGCGTACGCTTACCATATTTGTAGATTATGGTATATTGGCTCATATACCATAATGGCTAAGCCAATAAAAAGTCTTGAATTGCATTATCCAATGATCCAGTTTCTAATAATTGTAAATATTCATATATTTGGTGAATCTCTGACCTGTTATGAGGATCGTCAAGATGTGTAATCTGAGACCACTCATGTTAAATACCTTGGCACTTGAATTTAGGCTCTTACCAACCTGCTAACACTTGAGCAGTAACTTTCGCTTACAGACCTTAGGTTAATAATGACTGGTCTAATCAGTGACTCATTAAAGTTTGCTTTACGTGATGGCGTTTCAGAAGATACACTTACGCTGACAGTTGATACCACTGTACCCCATCCTGCAACTACACCTGTATCCGTATGTCTCATCAAGACAGGTCCCTCCATTCATACAAGGATTTGAATAACAAATGCTCCTTTCTGCAGGACAAGTGAAAAAAAGATATAATTGGAATATGCAAGTATATATCTTCATCATTATACAGGCTGTTACTTCAAAGAAGTCAATCAAAATAATTAAGTTCCTTCCTTGTTGCTTCTTTTCTCTCCCTTTCTCTCTCTGTAATGAAAAAGACCATTTATATGAATGTTTAATTCAAGCGAGTTTTTATGATTGCTCCTGAAGTACTTTTTCTATCATGTGAAACCCAGAGGATAAGCGAATAGGAATGAATCCTAAACGCAGTAAGATGTTAATTGATCTGAAGAATCTGTCCGATAAACATTTGAGAATGTTCTGTAGGAGCTTGGGACTGCCTTGATGTCTTCCTAGTTTATACCTTTAACAGTATCAGTACCTTCACACGTTACGCCTTTGTATCCAATAGGACAAGTGCATTCATATCTCCCTCCAGTTCTTTCTGTGCATGTTGCCCCATTTTTGCAAGGATTTGGAAGACAAAGGTTGATTTCTTCAAAAGAGAAAAAAAGTCACTTATTGATGAATCGAGACCAGCTTTTAAACTTACACACAGCTTATTATATGTTTCAGAACACAAAAAATCGCTCTTGAAACTGAAAGATGATTGATATGAAGTTGTTCTTAAAAATCGTAATTTTGATACAATTAAAGATTAAAAATAGCATAAGGAAACTCTGCACTTTGTCCAAAACATAACAATATGAAGAAATTTAAAATAATTCAAATGAATTGTTTTTTCCTCTCTGGCCATTTTTTTCTTCTAGGTCAGTCTAAGTAGCATTTGAACTGCATATTCGATATTTTTTTTAGTCATTCGTTCAATAAAATTTAATTTTTCTCACGTTCTAGTTCACTCCAATGAATGAATACCTAGACAGTTTGGATTACTAGTGGTAGCCTATTCCAGGCGTTTTTCCTAGTAAAACGGAGGAGCTAACAAACGGCGCGATAAAAGTAGCGGAGGATTTAAAAAACGGCAGAGGTTTGGGTGTGCTCCCATTGCGCTGGTTACCATCGCGCTTCGTTTTTACTGACTGGCCGTCTCAGAACAGGCTACTGTTGGGAGCTGAGGGCCGTTTTCAAAGGTTTCGGTAACTCAACGGGGCCCATAAAGCTTTTTTTTTGTTTTCATTCAAGTTGAGGTTTTTAAAAGTTTTGAAGCTTACAGATCAAAACTTTCAGCAAAGAAGCAAACAAAAAAAATGATCAGGGAACAAGAACCCGCTTCCCATTCTTTAAATTCTCATTCTAAAATAAAGTTTTGGATCGTTAATTTAACGGAACCTTCAAGAACCAGGCCCCTGGTCCGACTACTCAGGACAGACGCAGGGCTGTGATTAAGAAGCTAATTAATTCAAGTCTCAGTGTGAAATGGATGGACTCTTCAGGTGTACAAACAAGGTCTCGGCCATTCACTGTGTATCATCCTAAATAGCGTTATTACCATTACCATGCTAGTATGTTAGTATGACATGTGGCATACCTTCGCAGTTCTTTCCCTTGAAACCCTCTCGACACGTGCATTCAAATCCTTCTCCTTCATTGATCCCAGTGCATGTGCCTCCATTTCTGCACGGATTGGGATGACATTTGTTCAGTTCTGTGTTTAAGATCAATTGAATGTAAATAATTATCGCACGAAAAACTCGTTATACTTGTCAGCAATTGTTACTTTCCAATATGAATTGTTCATTGAAAGAAATATGTACGAGAAAATAAAAACGAGACGACTCTTTGAGTATTGGAATGAGAAAACTTCAAAAAGCGCACCCGTTTTATTTACTGTAGGAAGTTAAATATACACACTTAGGTCGAAATCATATTGATTCATCCAATATGCATGTGGAAAGATGCAGAAGTCTTCTGGTCGTTCAGACCCTACTCGGCACTGTCTCTTTATAAGCTACTAATTGTCTTTAAAAACAACTGTTTTCTTAAGATGAAATTTTCCATCAATACAACTCCGCATGCGTTTTAACGCAATTGCTGTTATCAGATTGGCTGAGCTACTCGTTGCCTACTCTTTGATAGCTAGTGAGTAAGGTGAATACAATGTAGCGTGACCCATTTTTATAATTATATAATAAACATGCGAACATATCTTGTCAAATTTGGCAGGATAACTGATTTGGACTCGCCCTCATCAACTTGCGAAAAAATCTTGAGTTCATAATTTTATTGAAAAATTGAATACTTTTTTTGTATAACCTTCGCAGTTTTCTCCTCGGTATCCTTTGGCACATGTGCATTCGTACCCTTGTCCTACGTCATAGCAAGTGCCACCGTTCTTACAGGGACTGGGTTCGCATTGACTTCGCACTAAAACAAAACGTTAGACTTAGATAAGATGTATTGATGACAAACATGAGAGATATCGTGTAACAAGACAGTTTCCACTATTGATCGCAACGACTACCTACGCACAGTCACATAACTTCCTTGCATTATCATTAAAATATGCTGAATATCCTAGATATAGTCCGGATACCGGATATCCCTCCCTCTCCGCACCTCTCCATAGGAAATAACAAGTTGACAAATAAAATCAGTTTACATTCGTTGACAGGAAGCTCTAAGATCTATTCATATGTAAAGGTGTTTGAAAAGATGCTTGGTGCGATGACACCTCAATAAAAAATAATAGGCTTTCGTAACCTTTTGCATTGCATTGAATGGCTAGACTGATCGGATTACCACAATCTCTTGACCCCATTTTTCCTGAACAGGTGATTATAACTTTCCACAATATCAACGCAGATATAGACCAGAAAACCCGAATATATATTGGCCTGCATACTTGAAACAATATACTTTAAGGAAAACGCTTGGCCATTGGAATCTCCTGATTAGTTATTTCGATAAGCCTTACGTTCACAATGCGTTCCCATAAATCCTGGTGAACAAGTACATTCATATCCGTGAGCAACAACAGTACATGTACCGCCATTTTGACATGGAGTTGGCTCACAAGTGGAATGAGCTGAAATGAAAATAAATAAAATCTATTTTTACTGTTATTGGTTTAGTTGGTGGGTATCCTCTTTTTTAAATATTGCTTTATGCTGCCATTTACGACCTTAGTTACCGGAAACCTCGTTTTCTAATCACATATTGGTAGATTTTATCTGAACAATTTATTTTTAATCTTGCCCTTGCGTCTTGAGGACAGCGTCGCACAAACTTAGTTTTAGAAAGGTTTTTACGGCAAATACTAAATGTAACTTTTGGGATTTTGAAATCGAGACTCAGTAACCTTGTAAACCCCTAATTCGTGAAGGAATGGTTTGGAACTTTGGCTTTGCAGATCTCAGTTCTGTTCACCAAAATGTTGAAAATCGAACCGTGCACTTATGAAAAAACATCGGCCACCCGCACAAACTCAAAAAAGGAATTTTAACAAGTGAAACTTTATTTGCCAGGCAGGTTCTTCAATCAAAAAACAGTAGAAAAGCGACGGAGATCATTTAAAATTTACCATCTTTTAAAGAATTGTAAGTGATATTTTATTGGGAAACTCTTAGTAAATAGTGAAGAAGACTTCATCACAAATCGCACAAGCGAGATATCATGATGAGCCAAGGCGATAACAATCTGCACCTTTGTTGTTTTGTAAACAAAATCCCAATATCAAATTGTCACAGTATCTAAAATGTACAAAACCTCAGACAAGCAAACTCTCTACAATTCTAACAACGAATAAGTCTCAATTTTAGCACCACGAGCACAATGTAATCGATAAACTTTGACATCTTTTTCTCAAGAAAGTCGTTCTCTTTATGAAAAGAGTTTTGTCGCTGCTTAGAAATGCGACCGCGCGTTACTTATTTGGCGAAACAAAAACTACTCGCTTTTCTTGGTTCGTCAACTATTAAATCACCCATGAGATTTATAAAAATCCTGTGAGAAAATTGATCACCTATTTTACTAGTGGACGACCATAACCCTTCCTGATTCATAGCCGGAGACATTTGACCTACCTGGGTGATGATGAACAATAATCCTATGAACATGAGGAAAAGGACAATCAAGACACGGTAATCCGGGGACAAACTGTCTTTTACTTTGCGCCTTATCGTTCATTTTATGATTTGTCGCCTCCTTGAGCTTTTTTAGTCTCGATTTATGCACTGAGCTTCTTTTCCAGAAAGCAGCGGCGATATTTGGTCCTTGTCGCTGACCTTTGCTTTCATTGTGGCGCTCCCGTATTGCTTCTGTCCCGTAAATTACGACTAATGATACAAGGCTGACTAAAATTACAAACCGTTCTTTCATGTTGATAACGCTTTTTTATCCCATGAAGGTAAACTAATGAAGACGTCTAAATTATAGCCATTTTTCGTCAAAGCTTCTGGTTGTTATGAATTAATTATGTCACGTGCATTCCTTTGACAAAACAGGTCATCCTTGGTGTCTTATTGGCTCAAAGAAATTCGATAGCCATTAGAACCTGTTACTACTGACTAGTCGGTGCTTACAATAAATCGTTTACAAACTTCCTAGCAGCGTCTCATCTTTTTTATTTCAGCAGTAATTTGACTGCTTGATCCGAAACTAAGAGAAATGTTGTTTAAAAGGAACGAAACAGTGATATTGCGACAGGCTGTCGCTGGTTTGAGTTAGCTAATCTTAGTCTGTTTGTATTTTTCTTTCTTATTAGGTACAATTTGAGCTCTAAAATACGTTAGATAAAACATATCGACCCATATTTAAAATGGAAGAAGATAAGATAATACAAGCAAAATTTAAGAAAAGCGGTAAAATTGTGTTAACACATGGAACCAAGACAACACTTAACCCTTGAAGTTAAATGGGTCAAATACTTTCCCCATATGACAGAATTGCGCAATAAGTGGTTTGCCTTTGGTTTTACACCTATGATAAGTGAGTTGCTCATAACAGTTGTTAAACCTTTTGTTTGTGACGTTATTACTTGTTTAACAAGTTGTGTACATTAAAATTCTATTAGATAACGTGATGATTTCTCGCTCCATTTTACTCAATATCGTTCTTTAGCTCTTGCCCAATACAAATATATTGGGTTGTTTAGCTGTTGACTTCATCTTCTCCTTTTACCATAGATAGATCGCATCATACCAAGGCAAGTTTATTACGCAATTAAACACTCCATTTTTTGTCACTCTGTTGCATTCTTTGAGTGGCGTAAAAGATTCTATAAAGTCTATTCGTTTTGTTTGAGAGGAATTAAAATAATATGTACACCCAGTTTTCCTCATCTTTGACCAGAGAGATGGCTAATCAGCGACTGATGAATATTTATTTACGAGAGTCACCTAATATACCTTCTTTTCAACGCTGATTTTGTCATCAATAAAATGAAAAATTGACGAAATTAATTTAAGGTAAAAATGGTGATCGGGTATTTTTGTTATTTTTAATTATTAGGTATTTCCCCAAAAGTCTCTGAGGTGTTTTCTCTTCTATTTAATTATTCTTGTTTAATTGTTTTGATCATGAGGCATAGCCTCGGCGCCAGTTATTATCAGTGAGTTGAAGAGGTTAAGGTTTGGAAGCAGGTGGCTGAAAAAGATCATATTCAAGGAATTAGTTCATTTCCTAAGTGCAGTGCAAATGGTTGGAAAAACAGCAGGATGGAGACTTCCAGGTTGGTAAAGATGTTGACAATATAAAGACGGAGAGCAGATACAACACTGGATACGTGTCGCCATGCCTGAACCAGTCCAAAGGACGACAACGCTGTCAATCAAGGAATTCAAGAACTTATGTCAAAACCTCTCTTTTTTCATTATTCTTTCTTATTCATTTATATCTTCCAACTTTCTTTCTATGCTTTAAAGAAAAAATGTTTCTGATTGCCACAGAAACTCAAATATTTGCAAAAAAAATTATTTGCTTCGCGACCTTTACTAGTCTGTTCCTTGGATTCAATGATTCTTCAAAGAATGCATCCCCTCTACACAAATTTACTTGCATTGTTTGACGCTATCTCAGAATTTATCATTTTTGAGTATTTGTATGTGTTTGTGTGTTTTCCTTAAGGGCGCACTTTAATCTACATCGTGTATTTTTCGTTATCAAACTGAATGCCGCTCTGGTGAAATTTGTCAGACCAACCTTCCTTTGAAATTATTGCCTGCATTTATGAAATACGAAAATCTTGCTAAATTTACCCGATCAATTCAGACTTAAAGGCTGCGAATAAGCGCGAGGTGATGACAGTACTCACCAAGGAAAACGCCTTTTGGCGAATTTCTTTACGATTATAGACTAACTGTTTACAGTAAACTCAGCTGTACTACACGCCACTTGAATGTTTGACCTAAATTGGTTTTCATTTTGGAAGTAGTGTAGAACAGAAGATAAAACTGGTGCCGGTATTGTACTCCGAATGCAACCTGCGCCTAAATCGGTAACCACCATGCCACGTAACTGGTCAGGAAACAAAGTTTCCATCCTTTGGTATCACCATAACGATGATCTCACTATAAGGATCACCCAGTTCCTCGAAAAACGATTTCCTAATATTTGAAAATGAAAGTAACGCCACTTACATGGCACAACTCATTTCTTTTCCTAAGTTTACTGACAGCAATCCAGACTGAGCTCTCTCAAGCGGCTTTCAAGGAAGACAAAACATCTAAAACGACAGGTAAAAGTCACCAACATCACAAGACGGACGTGAAGAAGGAAAAACGTTTCATGAACGAGCATTTTCCGAAAGGAAGAGTTGTTTATTCTTTCGTGACGGATAGGAACCGATACTTGGCAAGAAGGCCGCACCTGTATCGAGCTTTCGTTGTTCGAAGTCCTTTAAGAGTGCAACAATCGACAGAAAACGCAAATGGGCGTCAAAACATTCCTTTCATGGAGGTGGAACCTACATATCATCAACCGTTTGTAAGAGTTCGTCCCATTTCGCGACCAATTTACTACTTACAAGATACACCTGATGAACAAGAAGCAGAGTTCGAGGATCCTTTGAATGAACCTGTTGCTTTGATGCCTGAGGAATTTCCAGGTGTGATAAATTCGTTGTTGTATCGGGGTCAATATCGCGACGTAAACAAATCGCCACTTTTAAATACAATTCAATGCATTTTTTGCCGTGCAATGACAGGTCACACCTAATTAAAGTGAATTGCAATTGAAGAAGTACTTTCTGACTAATTTTATTATTTACTTTATTGATTTTCGGAGGCAAGAGAACATTGATCAGTCGATTTGTCCCAAGTCTAACAGCTTTACCTTTTTAATTTTCTTTATAAATTTTGGAGGAATAGCGACTTTTTTTACTGAACTGATTCGAGATAAACTTTACTTACAGTAAATCTCGACAGCTGCCGTCCCAATCCGTGTTATAATGGAGGACGGTGCAGGAGACTCAGACATGGAAGATTTAGATGTGTATGCCATAGAGGATATGGCGGCAGATTATGCAATGGTATGTATCTTTGTATTCAGTATATTATATTACTTTAAAATTCAATTGTGGAACTAACTCGACGGTAGTAACCGGCCTCTCAATGCCACACTTGCTACTGTGGGTAGTAGTCAAAGTCGATGGGGCCAAGAATAAAAGGCATCTAAGAGTTTTTTTTTCTTTCTNGCTTCTTTCGTGCTTAGCAACCTCTCGCGTGCATCCATAACTCAATAGTGTACGCTGTGGTGTTTACCATTTGTTAATTCTGAATAGCGTGAGTGGTTAATTACAAATGTCCAAAATTGATTGCAAATGTTCAAAACGTTATTGAGGTCAGATGGAGAATTATTGATGTAACTCAGTTCAAGATCAAATCTAAGGTTTCATAGTTGACGGTTTTTTCTTTTAACAGAGATTGATCCTTGTCTGCCGAATCCTTGCGAAAATGAAGGAGCCTGTTCCAGACTGAGTCGCGGCCAGTACAAATGTACCTGCAGTCACGCTTTTGTTGGTCCACTTTGTACAAGTGAGAATTGGTTAATAAATAAAATTATGGACTAGAGAACCTTAGAGAAACATGTTCAAACAATGCGTCGCCTTATGTTAAATCGCACCATAGTCCTAAAAGCATAAAGTGAAAGGCAAAACTAATTACAAAATTTCTACTGACTCAAAGAGAAGGATGGAAAAAGTTAAAATCTGCTGACGTTCTAGAAAGTTCAGTTCACATCATCAATCCTTAACTGATCCTGCGCACTATCCATTATACCCATGTCTTCAGCCTTCATAACAACTTTAATCAGTGACAAAGAATTGGAGCATGGAATTCGAGGGTATGGAGTTTGATTCCTCACTGGGTCATATTTTTTCCTTAACCCACGTTTTTCATAAGTCCAATGACATTCTTCCTCATTGCAGCGAGCTCAAAATCCGCCATCTTTTTCGCAAAATGGGATAAAAGAATGATAAAATCCATGTCAGATAGGAAGCCTAGTTTGGTGAATAATTTAATGCTGATCCATATTCTTCTTGCAGTTTTAATTTTTTTTTTTTTTTTCAGTTTCAAATCCATGTCTACCTAGTCCATGTCTTAACAATGGGACCTGTGTGAATAAAGGAATCACATTTGAATGTCACTGTCCAGCAGCCTTTTCTGGAAATCGATGTGAAAGTATGTCAGTATATTATATCACTTTATTTCTATGAAGTTATGAATTAGGTTTTTTCCGACACCCCCTTACAGATTCATACTGTTAAGGTTGTTTGAAATATCTCCCAGAATGTAGTCCTCAATACAATACAATACAAACTTCATTGACACTCCCTAAAGAGGGTTTTTCGGTGACAATGATCTAAAAATTACAAAATTACAGTGCTAAAAAGTATAATAGAAAAATTAAGGAAGCTAAAATGTTGATAAATGTTCGCCAAAGTTACAACTAAGAGCGATGAGAAAAGAAAGCAGCAAATAAGTTCTCAAGCAAGTTCTCATTCAAAGAAAGGATCTAATTTGTTTAATTTATTTTACAGTCCAATCCAAATGCTTTCCAAACCCTTGCCTTAATGACGCCACTTGCCGTGACGTGGACATAGGTCGCGGCTACGTGTGTTACTGCTCCATTGCATACTTGGGACCTAACTGCGAAAGTAAGAATACTTCGTATCATAACTACATCTTATTTCGTTTTGTTTTCGTAAATATTCAAGAAAAGCAAGAAGGTGTGAAAGTCTCTCACAGCTTTTGCTTTTCCACAAAGTACTCAAAAACAAATCTTGATTTCGTTCATAATGATTTCAAGGAAATTTGGTTATATCAACAAAGTTGAAATTGTAAATTGGCCATCGTAATGAGTTAAAGATGACGTTTCGAGCGTTAACCCTTCGAGCGTTAAGCTCCTCTGACGAGGGGCTAACGCTGGAAACGTTAGCTTTTGAACTCATTACGGTGGCCAATTTACAATTTTAACTTAGCTGATAAAACCAAATTACCTCGCTACCCCCACCGCGCAGCACCGCAGTTTCTTTAGAAACTAACCCCCGTTATTTTTAATGGTTTCAGTTCAGTTCTTAGTATTAATTTCTTATGACGATAACGTTACTGGACATCCTCCGCCCATTAACTATGCTCAATCAATGACCCTCAGGTTGAACTTGCGGTTTTATTCTCAACAGAAACCAATTTATGCTTTCAACACAATCCTTGCCAGAACGGAGGCACGTGCAAAACGGATGGAACCAATTTAGCGTGTCAATGTCCTCCAGGTTATTTGGGATCACATTGCGAACGTAAGTGTTTATATTTCTTAGAATGACAATGGATGGCTCCACTGATCTTGTTCCTTGACTAATTTGAACCAGTAGGCTTTAGAATGAGTACACCTTTTGCTGTTCATTACCAGAAAATATACTTGTATTTGAAACTGTTATTTTTGAAACAAGCTTTGACAGATTGTTCCGACTGAACCAATTGAAGATTAGTGTTATTTAGCAAAATTACTGTAACTATATTCTTACAGCTATCTGCCATAGAATAGCCACAGGTTTTTTTTTAATAAGTTTTCTTAAAGGACTTTCAAATTAATAATCACAAGGCTTTCGTCCGTTTACCCATTTGTTTCTCTTATTTTGTTTCTTCGAATTAAAGAGGCGAACTTCTGTTATTCATCGCCTTGCAAAAACGGAGGGACATGCTCTCCAAATACTGATGGCTTTGAATGCGACTGCAAACAAGGATTTTTCGGGAAAACGTGCGAAGGTGAGGCATTTGCTTTCTGCAAATCCACACTTTTTTCCGTACATGTTTTAATAAATCTCTCGTGACTTAATGAATAGTTTAAAATTTCTTCCAAGCATCAATCCATTTGTACGCTGAATCCTTTTCCTCTCGTCTGACAGTGAACAGCCTCTACATGATAATTAATAGCTCTGTTTCAAAGGGAGAGCAGTATTTTCAATAGACATACGGGTAGTGAACAAAGGTTTTTTTAATCGTTTCTGTTTAGTCGACTTCGCTGTAAAAGTAGAATAGCATCTCTTAAATAGATTATTTTATTCAGTAACTCTGAAAATCTACAGCTTTGAGCAGTCACTGCTTTCCAAACCCTTGCAAGAATGACGGGTTGTGTGCCGAAGTGCAGAGCAAGGAGGGATATATTTGTGTTTGCAAGGAAGGATTTGTTGGATCACATTGCGAAAGTAAGATTCTATGAGACTTCATTAAGTTGCAAACGTGCAAATAAAGTAGTAGGTCTCTCTTATAAGCATCAACACTCATTGAGTATGCACTAGTGTAGATTGAGAATGCATGTAGAGAGGTAGGGTACACTGTTGATTCCGTTTTTTCATAATAGACTTTTTTTTTACCATTTACTATTCTTACTTTAGAGGTTGTAAAGCACTACTTAGATAGATGATAGGGTTTGATTGAATTCTGAGCAATTGACTACCATATTATAATCGCTGCAGTGTTTGTTCTCTCCAGGTTTACTTGTTATGCTTTTCTGCTTCATGTTTGCCAGGAAAAGATTCGTGTATGCCAAATCCCTGTCAACACAATGGTACATGCTTACAGGCTCATAACAGGCGAGGATATCACTGCCTTTGTCAAGCAGGTTGGCGAGGATATGCCTGCGACCGTACGTATGTCTTCGGAATGATGCTGTTGAGACAGGGAATCTGCTCTTGAATTCAGTTAATATTAAAAGTTGCAAAGACGAATCTTCCTCATCTTATTTTACTTTTCAATCAGGGGATGATCTTTGCTATCCCACCAACCCTTGTCTTCATGGAGGAACATGTTTCAATGCCCTCGACGCCTTCATTTGCCACTGTCCTCCGAGATATTCAGGAAAACATTGTGGAAGTAAGTAGTCTTTTTCTGATTCCGCTGCCGATAGTTTCCAGCTAAAACTAACCAAACACTGGCTGGCGTTTTTTCAAGTCTTAAAACAGTCTTTGTATGATAACGACGAACCCACACCGTTTTTAATTGAATATATCTTTCATAAAGATGACAAGTGTGCGCGTTGCGACGTAAATGCGAACTGTGTGGATGGAACGTGTGAATGCAGACATGGTTTCGTTGGCAACGGGTTCACGTGCACTCGTAAGTTAAAACATCAAAATGATCAAACTCTCGTGTTTCTGTGAATTGTTTTGTTCTAATCGAAAAATCCCTGGTGCCGTGGTGTTTCTTCGTATCCACTTATTTTTTATGTAATGCAGTCATGTTGAAAGATATCTCTGATTTGTGAAATATTTTACACAGCACGCGTAGCTAGAGGGTCTCTAACGCTGCAGCTTAAAACTCTCTCAATTCAAAATCATTGATCATTTGTCGTGTAGCAAGTCGTTAGTCTTGTATTTAACACGATTAGCAGGAAGATCAATTACTGGTTGGTCCAACTTAAATGCTAAATTGACTAGGCTCACTGGTTCTAAATGGAACCTTCAGTTACTGATTAATTTCTGTTTAAGCTGTTGGAGATCCGTGCCAACCCAATCCTTGTGAAAATGGCGGAACATGTCATACAGGACATGGTGAAAAACTGTTTGAATGCACGTGCCGCGAAGGATTCATCGGCACTAAGTGTGAAGGTGAGGCAAAATTCAAGATGGCTGTAATCCAGGAATTCGATAGACGATGCGTTTTTGAAATACTCTTTGACCCACCCATCCTGACGAAGAGAGCCAGTCCAGCTAAACTACCTTTCAACTTCCTCACAGATGATTTGGAGCTTGAGCTTTTTTTTTTGGAAGCCTAATTACCTCCCCTCGTAAACTTCTCATCAACCTCCCGTCCCATGCCCATCCAAACCTCTTGGTTATACCTTTAAAATAATTAGTAGTTCAGAGAGGATCAAAAAGATGAATTATGACTTATTAGCAGACGATATCATGGTTGGTGAAGATATTCGACGATTACGACATCACATTTGACATATATTCGACGATTCGACATCACATTTGTCAAACCCTGTTTTATAGAGTTTCGATTATACAAAGGAATACATAGCACGAACCCAGCACTTTCTTAATACAGGCGACACAACAAAATATGGTGATTTTTCGTTTTTACAGCATCCAAAAGTGCATGTGTATCAAACCCGTGCGCTAATGGAGGAACATGCGTAGATGCCACAAACAATGATGGTTCATTGCTGGAGGGTGTCATATTTACAAACCATTCACAGTTCAAATGTGTTTGCCCCAAGGGTTACGCAGGAGAAAACTGTGAGAGTAAGTACATCGGTCACATTTAACGTGATTTGTAGACAACGCTGAGTAGTTTGGTGGTAGGTACGTTAGAGTTTGGAACAACTGGTACAGATTTCATTCCTAATGGATCATCTTGGACACTGATTTGGAAAAGTAAATTCAACCTTTAGAATCTGTTGTGTTTTCATTAACAGTTTATAATTTGATCTAGCCAATACATATCTGTTTGGCCATTGCTGCTTCTATTTTCATTTCAACAGAACTTGTCATGACTAATCCCTGCTCTACTCACCCATGTCTCAACAATGGGACGTGCTTTGACGATACAAACAGCGCTGGAATAGATCTGAAACTACTAAATGCTTTGGACTTTCGTTGCTTCTGTCCCATTGGATACAGTGGTATTGTCTGCGAAAGTAAGAAAATGATTGTCTAAATCAAAGTTGTTCATATAACTGTTCAAAAAAGGTATCTATTTTAAAATGTATTTTATTGAAAGCAAAAAGGAGAATATAAAAATTACTCCTGCGTTTCTTTCTTGAACAGCACCTAAGTCAGCATGTCACTCAAGCCCATGCCTTCATGGTGGGACCTGCTTAGACTCTTCTAACACAGCTGACGTGGCGTTTAACGCTAACGGCTACAAATGTCTTTGCACCGCGGGCTTCATAGGAATGAATTGTGAAGGTAAACCACACTTCGCTAGGTTGCTTGCACTATCCTTACTTTGCGTAGTGACATTCAGGCAGAGGAGAAAACATCAAATCATTCTCAGGTATATAAAGGTCGCATGCATATCTATCCAGTGATGATTTAGAACAGATAAGTGGCTGCTTAAACATAAACGAAAAACAACTGCTTGAATATACTGCTTGAATACTCAAGTTGTTTCAGTTTCCATCCATTTACCGGAAATTTCCTATTGTTTCCGCAGCCAGTTCAGTATCCGAAGTAAGGGCTGCTTCAGCCACAGGTATTTTTGCATCTCTTAATTCATTTGAAGAGGGCTTCTATATTCAGCAAGAAATTGCCTCTGGAAAGAAGGAAAGGTGGAAAAAAAATGCCCTCCTAAGATGCCCACCTTGAAAAGGAATAGATGCATCCTGTCATGTGTATAGATAGGTGTAAATTTCAACAACTGTTCCTCAGAAAAGCTTGAAACAACCATATCTCATTATTCACTCTCTTTTGGAATTTTTGTGCCGTCTTTAAAACCCCATGAAAAAACCAAATGTTCTGATGAAACATCTTGACCAACACCAAATACTTAACTTTAACTTTGCTTGTTAGTAATGCATGTCAAATGTTTCGCAGATAATTATATTGCTATCAATTTTCCTAAAGCTACCCTCCAGGCCACAGTTAAACCAATAGGTGCGCAGAGCTACAAACCAACAGGTCAGTCATAATTCTTTGAGTTCTAACTCAACGAATGAATGCATATCCAATCCAAAAAAAGATGTAAAAGAAAACTTAACTCTGTAGAAAAAGCATCACTGGCCCATAGTATCCTAACAGTGTTGGTTGTGTTTTGGTATAGGTAACAAAAAGTTACAGTATTTCAGCATATCGCCACAAACTACTCCCATGTGAATTTATAAATGTGTTGATCATCACTGACGCTGTAAAAATTTTTTTTCCCGCCAGATTAGCAATTACGCAATCGCCTTTACACGAGGATTGGCCTTTCCCACATGAGGAAATTTTTCAGTCACGAATTTTTGTTTTTTTAAACTTGCAGTTCAAGTGATAGATGTTCATGCGTCTCGTGGGACACCAGGTGCCCCACCAGGTAAAGACATCCTTTCTAATAGGTCCGTGGTCCACAGTTCCAAACGAGGTCAACGTTCACTAAACTGTTTTGACACCAGATCTCATATATGCTGGTAACTGTAACACTTAATGCCATCAATCTTGGAACATTAGACGTTTATGACGATAGATGTGTCGCTGCTTGTATGATCTGCGAGTACTCAAAGTATAGTTTTGTATGAAACAATAAATTCAATTCTACGACCCCCTCATCGGAAAGGTGACTGAAATTACCATGAGACATTTTTTTTCTTGCGTAAGAAGTTTCATTTTTCGTCTAAGCCTTTCTTTATTTTTACTCTAGTTATGGCTCTGGTGCCACAAGAGCCGAAGGAAACAAGCGCAGTATCGGGACAATTAGGTGCAACACTTCTTGCCAAACCAGTTTCAAGTCCAGCGAAGGCGAATGTTGGTCTTACGGCAGAGTTTGAAAAGCCTAGTCAAAGCCAAGTTGGTGTTGTTGTGATTCCACAATCTGCCCAAGCACGTGCTGCCAGACCTACGACGGTCCAGAGCTATGGCCCTCCCAGTTCCTCAAGTATGAGATTGCTTTCTTATAACAGTCTTCGAAGAAAAAAAATTAAATCTTCTCCGCAAGAAATTTTCCTATAGATATTAATCAATGCATCTCTCTTACAGGCAGTGGTGTTGCAATGGCATTATCTTCCGGTGCACCGGGTCAGTTAGGCTATGTGCTGCCTGTATCATCATCTTTACTTCCATATGTGGCTTCCCCAAGCGCGGCACCAGCACCTTCTACTAACTCTCTTGCTTATGTAGCGTCCAAGGCAGTACCTGCTCAACTGCCATCAGTGGGTCTTATTTCGTCACCTCCGGCTATACCATCTCTGCTTGCTGCACCATCTTCATCACCTGCTGTGGCTCAGGCACCTGGGATTATCATGCCCCCAGGGTTGTCACCACTCCGAGGGAATGGACCTCTGAGTTTGGCTCTACCAGAAGGGACACCTGTTTTTGGCCTTACGGCAAGAAGACAAACTTTGAATCAGAGATCAAGAAATTATGGTCCTTCCTATGCAAGTTACAATGGTTATACGAGTAGAAACGCCAACCGAGGAAATAATCAACAGATCTATGGACGTTATCCTTATACCCGAACAAATTGGTACTCGAATCAAAACTACGCGAACGCTTTCCAACGGAGTTACCGACACGCAAACAAGAAAAAACGAAACAATATCACTATCAAGGTAAAGTAGCGTAGCTTAATGATGAATTTACTAAATGCATTTCTTATTTTGTTTGTTTTTTATTTTAATTTTTTGCTGTTATTTGGAAGACATACGAGTTTCTCGAGCATTACTTGATCATCTTTTTATCATCCTAGGAAACCAAGAGCTATGTATAAAACTGCTCTTTTACCATGATGCGTGATCCCGTTTATCTTTTAGCGACTAGTGACAAATGAATGATACGAAAGTCTAAGCTCCACCTATGATGCAAAATTTCAAATCTAATTTATCTATTTATCCCTTATTTGGCAGAAGCAGACTTCAGGCCTTTGAAGAATATCCCAACCGACCAC